AGCATCACAGTCCTTCACAATCTTAGATAGATCAATAGATTTATCTTGTCATGGCACAAAATCCAACAGTAACATTGTTAGCACCTCAGGCCAGATCTGAAAAAGCACACGAAGCTGCAATTTATTTAATGAATATAGGACTGCATATGTATTTTTTAAGTCTGAATCAGATCCTCTTCCTTTAGCAGAAAATTAGTCTCTCAGTAGGGGAATACCTTACAGCAGTCAAAAGAAATGTTCAAAAATACATTATGCTAACTATTAGCAGCAATAATTCATTATACTTTAAAGGTATTTTAAATAGGATGGAAAATTACAGATTTAACCTGTACCAATGAAATCTATGTCTACCCTAAAAAAATATGTGGACGTGTAATTAATTAAGCTTTTCTAAACCCAAAGTATTTGGTTTAATTTAGCAGATACAAAAAAAGTTTAAATCACAGTAAAAGTCAAAATAAACACAATATGTACACAACAGAAGATCTGATAATTTAAAAAAGTGTTAGTCACTAGATAGATGGAGGAATTTAGATTTTAGATAGTAAAAGATTATGAGACTTGGTGATGATTCTCTTTCCAGGGCTTAATTTCTCTAATTTTACACTGGTGTTTTGCTTTAAGTCAGTTCCTTCTTCAACTTTTTGACTGAAAAAAATCCATAACTATTAAAAATAGTTGAAGATATTACCACAGCTGGTTATCATGAAATATAACTGCATAGATAAAAGTACCACAATTTACTTTTTTCCAAAATGATTTTGTGAAGGTTAGAATGTCCTTTAAAAGCTGCTATAACTTTTATCTTAAACATGACCTTGTACTAACACTATGCATACTATCCTATTTTCAGAAAATTCATCTCAACCAAAGATGAGTGGATTTTTAAGAGGAACTTTGGACAAGAGCTGTGGTATAATAATTTACTATTAAAATGAATCCAAATCAATGTTCAATACTAAAATGAAAACCAATGGAAACAACTGCCCTTCACGAAGAGTAATCAGTGAAGAACTCAAATCCATAACTTAAATTCACCTAAACAACATTTCACAATTTATTGAGTAAGGAAAGAAATTAAATGACACTGAATGCAGGCTGACAATACAGTCCTGTTTAAGGCCTTTTCAAGCATGAATAGGTTATAAAAAGTGAAAACAGACGTTCACTTGGTAAAACAGAGTATTGTGCAAGGCTGAAGGTACTCCAATGAACCATTGATTTCTAATGATGCATAGTGAAAATCAATCAATTAATTAATTCTTATAAAGAATTATATGAGATTCCTAAAGAAGAGATTCAAAATTGCCATATTTATTAGAAGACCACAGAAGTACAGGAGATATAATTGTTAGATGATGACCCTGTAAACTGCTAATCTGCGTAGAATAGCACTGGATTTTTTTCAACACACATTTACACTCAATTGTTTTCTTTCCAATCAGAAAAAAACCCCTTGAGAAGTGCATTCCAAATCTGCTTGACCCACATTTAAACTTGTATGTTGCTGCTTATTCCAAACATAGTTAAAAGTATGTTGGAATGAGCAACCAGAATAGACAGGCATAAAAAAATTATCGGAATTAAAACCATATTTTATTATATGGTATTTTCAGTTCAGTGCAATTACACCTTCATACAATTTACTTAGCACTTTACCTTCTTATGATAACTTTCTAATTTTCTTAGGGCAAAACCTTGGAGTAAACCAGTCAGTTAGCTCTAGATGTTTCTCTTAAACCTGGAAAAAGTGTTGAGATCCTCAATTCAGAAACACATTTTTTCCTGTGATTAAACACACTGAAGTTCCATGTCTGAACTTTAATCCAGAAAATACATCAACATGTATTAAATACATGTTTTAGGCTAACTATCTGCTTTAAAATTCTTTGGAATTGTCTTACTCAAGCCCTCGGGGGCTAATTAAGTTTTTCCTTACCATTTCTTAAACTTTCATCCATTTTATGATATGGATTCTCATAAACTACAATGTAACATTTTAAAATCTTAGGCTATAAATAGGCCAAGTTCCAAACAATATTTTAAAAATAGACTGTGTAGCAAACATATGGTTTTATCTTTACATCAAACATTTACTTCCTCAAAAGTATTTCAAGCCAATGGGAATTTTCATTCTAGCAGACTATGCAACAAGCTGTGTACAGACACACTGCACTCCAGCTGTAGCAGTAAAATTACTGAAACTGTAATTCTCTTAATATTTAAATAATATATTAAAATTTAATTTTCTGCACCTGGAAGAATCTGTTTGTGTGCCAGCAAATGATGTAGTTGGGCCTGGAGCTGCTATACATATGGGATTCAAAAACAACCTATCACAAATAATTACTAAGAGCAGCTGTACTCATGACACTAGCCATTTAAAAATCAGGTCAAAGTTTCCTCAATTCTTTTTCCATTTTCAAGGATTTCTGCAGAACAGTTGTGTAGTTTTTATATTTTTGTCTTGTTTTCAGTATATTTTTTTAAATTGTTGATTCTGAGATTTTTAGGTTTCCTGATACTCCAGGCATTTAACAGTTGAAGGTTTCATGACAGATTATAAAAACATGCAACGTGCATTTTCCAATACATCTTTCAAAATTGGACAGAAAGTAAATAGTATAATATGAAAATGCATTTGCTGATACACAACATACGTGTGTTACATGAATACACACATGGTACTAAGTACAATTCAACATACACATAGATATATATAAGGATATATCATATGGCTCAAAAAAACCCCAAACATTACTTGCATTGTAGCCTTTAATTTATTTTAAGTTGATGGTTTTAAGGTGGAAAGTTTTTATTTTAAAAGCATTTTCAAATTATCTTTTTTCAGAACCACTTCATTTTTAACTGATTTCCAGAAGTTGCTCTCTAGCAACCACTACCAACTTCATGATCATTTGTGAAGAAGAAAGCCTATGTACCACCTTTTTCAATCTCATACCTTTTCAAAATGTATTTTGAAAAACATAATATGAGATCACATTTTTTAGATAGGATTAATAATGCTTGCACTGATCTGAAAATTTTTCAAAGTTCAGAAAGATTCAGCTAGAAGCTTTTCTTTTATAATTTTAAAATATTCCAACCTGCATTCCTACACATTGAAGTAAAAAGACTCATAATGAAAACCATATATTTTACAATGACATACTGAGAAATAAAACACATTACCCTTCAGGGGGAGAGACCCAAGCATTTATACACTACTACCTTCAATCACTTGAATGCAAGTCATTCACACCACCACTATTGCTAACAAGGCATCCAATTTACGAAACAATGAATAGTGAAATTACATTTAAAAGGTACAAATGACTGTCCAAAGAATGACACTGAAAAATATTAAGTAACAGCTCTACCTCAAGATAAGCCTCACAATTAAAGACTTTTAATGAAGAGAGCCTTCAAAGGCTAAATCAGGAGGCATTGATTAGATTGCTTCTAACTTTGTGTTTTGACACCTTCATCTTTCATGGCATTATATTGTCTCCGTGCATCTTACAAAGGAAGCATTTTACTAAGGCCACACATGAACAGGAGACAGCAGTGCTTATAATAGGGACTGTCAAGGGTATGAGCCAAAATGGGTCTCATTTGGATTTCAAGTGAAGAAAACTCCTAATGCATTTCATTACAATGTATGTGAACCTCTGAAAAGAACGATGGATTGGGATTCTCATACCTATTAATTTATTGAAATGGATTCCGCTTTTTCTTGTATATCAAGAGAGACCATGTGTTTCAAGCAAGGTAACAATATTATAGTGCCAAATAACTAAATATGCCATGATGACGTATACCCTTCTGCGAGACAAAGAGGATGCAATTTTCTTGATAAGTGGGATTTGAGTTCAGAAATAAATCCTTCAATAGCTTGGCAACAAATAAATGCTCTTTGTTGCTATCAGGTTTAAAAATACAATCAGGAAGCTATGCAATATAGGGATGGATTCCATCTTTGTTACCACAGCATGTTTTTACCACATGAAATTGCATACTCCCCCTTCCCCGTGCCAAACTGTCATTCAGGTATTGACTTTTTATTTCATTGAGAGAGTGAGTGATGTAATTTGGGTACCACCTACATAAGTCACCTTTTATTAAAAGATAACAGAACAGGATGCAGAAAAGTAAAAACATTCAAGAAAATTGTAATACATTGCAGGTCAATGTAGCTATAAAGATATAGCTCTACAGATAAATACTTGCCATAGAAATATATCACTGATTATCTGATTCACTGTACAAGAAGTTTATACAAATACTTGTTTGTCTTTTTCTCACTTTAACTTCAATAACAAAAGTTATTATATGCCTATAATCTGTCATTCAAAAACTGTAAATTATGATCTAATACAGAGAACAGGATACAAAATCCTTCTCTATGCTAAATAATTTTACCAATATAACTACCAAAAATAAAGCATATGTTCTCATTAACCTTAGAAGTGATTGATTGTTCTGCACCAATAACATTCAGTAAGTTCAAAGCTCATCTATTTTTTATGAAAATCTTACAACCTGCTAGTTAAACTAAAGGTTAAATATACATAAAGTCTTAAAACAAGACAAAAGTATTCCATATGTATGTAGCTGATAAGCAGAGTACACAAACACATACATAAATCTGTTCACATTTAAAAACCCAATGCCTTAAGAAACCCTCCAGTGTCACACAAAGACTTTAAAGAGTTTGCTATCTATGGAATATTAAGAAAATATGTTTATTAAGTTAGGAATTGCCTCTTAAGTTCCAAACTTAACTGACAACAATTACAATAGAAAGAATTAATCAAAACCATAATCAGAGCTAAAGATATGGTTGCTTTCACAAATCAGTCCTCAACAAGCATTTTATTTGACGTAAGAGGGAAGTCCAGGGCACATTTTACTGGTTTAACAATAATTATATAAATACATATATGCAAAAGTATGTAATTAATTTATTTTTTATGTATAACACGCAAAAGCAGAAATGTAAGTGAAGAGTGTGTATATATATATATATGTACTCTGTATAAATTAAAAATTAAAAAAAAAAGTCTGCAAATTTTCAAGATTTGACTCAATATGATTTTTATACTTGTATATCATGTGTTTAAGTGGTATATGCACATGTGCCCAAGCAACAGAGAAATAAGCAAGAATCATACAAAACAAAATCAAATTCAATATTAGCAATAAAGATTGCAGATTTCTACATACAACACAAAACCACAAAGACATTTATTTATTTAATTTTTTAAGAATAGTCATAATTAAATTAGAATGATCCATGTTCCGTATTTGCTCCGTATTTTATCTTGGCAGCTCCTGCATACTGAGGCAGAGCCCATTAAACACAAGCATATAGCAGCTTACTTGCTGAATTATGTATTTAAATACTTAAAATTACTAGGGATTTGACTGTGATCTGTACATGAATACATATTTTGGACTTAATTTTTTGCACTGGCATTTCTTCTAAATATACTTTAAATTCTACCACAAACTCAGTTAAAATTAGGTTTTTCCATGACCTAACAAAGGTAATAACATTATCTTTTAAATGTAAGCTTTATGACACTAGGAATACACACAACATTTTTTCAGTTGTAAAATTTGATCCATAAACTAAGTGATATACTTAAGTTAATTTACCTTTTAAAATATATCATGTGTTGTTCATTTTTTTTGACAGGCCTTCCATTCATACTGAAGACATGTTTAAAAACACTACATTTTCTCTCAATAAGAAAAATCACTTTATCCACTATCATACTCATTCTCTTTCAATAAAAAAATCAATCATCAAATACTTATTTACAAGTTCAATTTGTTTTACTCTGATTTAAACATGCTGTTCAAATCAGTTCAAATTCTTTCAACTCTACTTGGTATTCTTGGTACTATTTTTAATAGTATTTGACATTTTAAAAGAGCAAGGAGAAAAAGAAACTTTATACATATTATAAGAAATTTACGCTTAGAAGTTTGTGATCTGGTACTGCTCAGAGCCCTAATTTTTTATAAGAAAAAAACCCCACCAAAATTAAATCTGTTATGTAGGTTTCAAAGTAATAAAGATCTGATTGAGCCCATTGAATAAGGCAATTGCATCGGTTGTCTAAATGGTAGCAATGTCAATGTCAGATATGTGGTTATCTTTTCATCTTGGTCTATTCTCAAATGTAAAAATCAAATGTTTGAAGGACATTTCACTGACCTGTTATGGCCTCTTCAACTCTCCAACACAATACTACTATTCCTCATATGAGTGCCACATTTTGGATAAAAACCCACTTCATCCACGATGCCTTTGCGACATCTGGCGGTCCTTATTATACATAAACTTTAAGTTTGTTTCTTTGTTGGGTGTTTTCAGTTGCTGTTGGGTACTTTTAGTATAATAATTTTACTCCATTTATTTATTTATTTGCAAATCTACTAGCATGTAAAACTTCAGTCCAAAAGGCTTTGATACCCCCTAGCAGGGGAACAAAAGCAATCTAGTTTGCAAAAACACAAGGTCTACCATGAGTCCATATGGAGCAAAAGGTCACAAATCTTGAGACGCAGTGACATTATGACAATAAGACACTTTTGAGACAGAAGCTGACTCATTTTGAATATAAAAAGGACATTGATCAAATTCTCCCACGCATTTAAAACTATGCAGAAGAATAAGCATGAGAAGAACCTGATGTAGATGCGTAACCGAGGAGAGTTAAAACATACCCTTTAGATTTCACAATTACAAGAGCCACAAAAAACTTGACAAGTCTGCTTCAGAAGATTTAAAAGCATTATTTTTATGTCATTATCGGATGCTGAGAAAATTTTATTAAAGGAAAAAACACTGTTCACAGGGTGCACGTTCCTTATAAGAACTCAGCTCTTTTAAAATTAATTCAGTTATGCCCAAGCTTGTTCTACATGTTTCAAACCTATTATTTATCATTTCAATAAACTATGAGAAAAGTATTATAAGCAAAAGAAAAATTATCTTCCCTTCTATATCCTTCTTCCTTAGCTATTTCACTGCAGTAGGAAAACCTCATTCTAATTTCTTTATTACAGTAACTGCAGGGGTATTTGACATCAACTTTGTGAAACCATAACTTTGCTATTTCTTAGCCCAGCAGGAGGAACTAGTGCATAAAAACTTCACTTATTCTAACAATTTTTTTTTCAAACCAAGAGATGATACAGTAACCAAAGACTAAAGGTGTATTACTCGAGATATAGAGCATCACTTCTTTAAATTCTAATTTGCTGCATCATGGTAAAGATTTAGTTAAACACACTACCGTTCCAAAATGAGCAATATAGTAAATTGTTTGTCTGTATATGAACAGATATGTAGCTTGTAGTACTAACATTCAAGAAAAATTTCTAATAAATCATAAATGAATCAAACTGAAAAAAATAATGTCTCAAAACTGCTCTTGGCGTGGACTGGATTTAGTAAACAGTCTAATGGTATAGTTCATTATTTCCTTATTTTACAACAAAAGATTTCTGAATCATTAGAATATCTAGTAGGTGCCTGTAAAAGCCACCATTCAAATTTTAATTAAAACTTCAGTAGCCTGTGTTTTCAGTGTATGTATATGGACAAGATACAAACTATGCACTGCAGCACAAGCACATGATTCTCTGCAAATTACAGACACATAACCAAATATGTGAGAAATACAGGCCAAAGAAACATTGTTAATTCTAAGTAGTCCTCCCATGCCACAAAACTGCAGGCATACAATCTAGCCTAACATGTTGAATTGAAGTTATTGTACTGAATTCACAGAGTCAACTCATTAAGGATGTGAGTGAGCACATTCAGGATTATGTTTTAGTATGGAATAAAAAGATTAATCAGTCATTGAACTCCATGTACAAAAATTTAGCATGTGACAACATAGATTAAAATCAGAAAACTAAGCAAATTTAAAAAAACACATCAGGAAATGTCATAAACTAATGAAAGAACTAAAGTATCATGGTAAAAGGAGGAACTTTCCTTCTCCAAAGAAGGATCAATCCTCACTGAAATAAAGATAAATAAGTAAACAACAAACTGACAACACATACTTCTAGAAGTATTAGAGCAATTCCTTTAAGCTGCTATGAACTAAAGCATGGTCTTTTAAGACTTCAGAATCTGTTAATTTTCTATGAAAAATTTTTACCAATAGTGAAAACACTATGAAAGCCCGATCACACAAATCTTGTTCTGGACTCACGCCTTTCCTGATGAAAAAGTAATAGAAAAAAGCAGCACTTTTTGTCAGATAAGTATCTCTGACTTTTTCTTCCTCAGAAAGTTATAGACTGAAGCTGGTTAACTCACATTGGTTAATATCCAAATATTGAGGCTTGGGCATGATATTGGAGAATGATCTGTGAGCATAACTTCATAGTTATTGTCAAGTTATGCATGAACTACAACAATATGGCACTGAAGTTTAGATAGACAGAGATCAATGACGATTCATTTTTAATGCTAAAATTCTGAAACCACTCTATCAAATTTTACTGTGCTAACAACCATCTATCACTGAGATATGCAAAGAATACCAGATTGTCTCTGCATTCACTTAGAGGTTATAAAGCCCACTGTTTCTATTGCATGCTCTAACAGTGACTCCGTATGAAACAATAAAAATGAGATGCCAAATATAAGACAGAAATGGAAAATAAATTTACTGTTAAGGAGCTATGACATATTTTTAAAGATTTCTTTTTTACTTGAAAGATAAGAAAACCTTTAATTGTCTACATACCGTTTACAGAGGTTTAACTATATATCATATTAATGCTCTCAGTTTTTATCCCAATGTACTGTTGAATTACCCATGTAATTATCCCAAGAGAAATCATGATAGTTATTTTACTGACTATATTTATTGACGGATATAATTTTGTTAATACTTTTGTGGGAAGAGTTTGGCAGTACTTAAATTCAGCTATCACGCTTTTTATTAGTACAATTAAAAGGATAATTTCTGTATTATTTTAGAGGGTGGGTCTTTTTACAGAGATGTTTAATTGCTGGGTTAAAGCAATAACAGAAAGCTAATAAGAAAAAATTTAGACAATAATTTATGGTCAAACATGAAACAAAACTAAAATTGTCCCTGATACCAATAGTGATATCTCTTTAAAATGCAAAAAATGGTTGTTAAATAACAACAGTTCTTTCTAAAATGACAACATGATAGTATATGCCTTAACAAGCCCTCCAACAACAAGCAGTAGCACCACATTTGAGTAAACAGAAAAAGTCTGTTACAAATATAACTTAAAGAGATGTTTATTTCAAATATCTGCTGACAGAACCTTGTAAAGGCAAAGCAGTTATAACTTTTGGTGTACCAATAATATAAGACCTTATTGCTGCAATAAATGCAGCACCATTGTTTCCTCATCTTTTGTGTGCACTATGATGTTTACTGATTCAGCAGGCACTATACTTACATACAGTTCAATTTACTTAAATTCAATAAGACCAAAATAACTTTGCAACTGGCAACCCTGGAAATAAAAAAAGTGAGGGAAGAATGTGGATTGCAAATTAAAATCTGTTTCTGGATATGAAGACCAAAAGTAAGACAGATGTTCTAAAAGAGAAACAGAAGATCAGACTACGGCTATTAAGAAATTACTCATCCCAGATGATGGTGGGAAACTGTTCTCATCTGCCTCAGATTTTAGTGAGTCATTTTTATTATACTAAACATTTATTTTTGGAAAAAATGTGAAAATTGGGGAGACCAAGGAATTAGCAAATACAAAAATTCTAACAAATTCATACACTCTGATGGAGTAAAATTAATTTTAATCCATGGGAAATATATAAATTTAAATATAATCTAAGGGAAAAAAAAATTATGAGGTAGTATAAGACTTCTGACTAAACTCTCCTTCATTCCAGGGATACAGAAAGTTTAAGGAAGCATGATGTGGAAAAGTTGTATGGCGATATCATTCTTCGGCTTCTTATTGTGGGGTTTTCCCATCACTGCAGGTGAAAAACTCAGTGCAGGTTGATTAACTAATAAAATCTTCTAACTAATTTCACTTTAAACATTTTATGACTGTCTACATTGCAGCACGACAGTATGACAGCATGACTGAATCTTTGTTCCACATGATTTTTGTAGTAGGGGAAAGTATTGGAAAATCATTAAGAAAATAGCCAGTCATTTATATGCAGAAAATCCCTGTATTAAATTTTTTTCTGTCAAAACTTCCATGCACATTTTCTGTGTACAGAAATTTAAAATATTGAAACTCTTTACATTAATCATTGCAATCAAAACTGTGTTTCCATTTAAATGAATATGTTGTATTAAAATGAACAAAGGGTGAAAACAGTGTCAGCGTTTACTTTCTTTTCCTAAACTAAATAGTATTGCTTGGAAAACAAAAAAATATTTCTCTTTAAAATAAAGGAACTCAATAATGAAAACATGAAAAGAGTTGTGTTTTTCAAGTAAAATGGAAAGACAAAAGTTTAAGAATGTTTGTAGATGTGCCTTGTTTAACAGTTTTATATGTTGGATGTGACTTTCACAGTCTGTTGGCTGTTGCAGGAAAGACATCACATCTGTGACTTGGCTGTTGATTAATGAGTCTTTCAATTCCCTGCTACCATCTGAAGAAGGGCTGTGGCATTTCTAAGCTTCACTGATTTACTCGCCTTCAGCTGCAGTCCTACCAAGGTATCTTCCATAAAAAAAAAATCACACCTGGTTAAGGCTAATGAAAACCTTAATATGTCATTTTCTAGACAAGTCAAAAAGCATGTAAAACTAGACAAAAGATGTATTCAAGCAACATGAATGCAGTTTTGTCATAACCTGTCAATCTAAAGACTAACATGAAAAAGCTTTCTTCAATGACATTTTACAGTGTCAACTATCAGAATGACAATTCTTAATTCCCTCTTTGGTATATGAGGCAGTATGCACAATGGTTTCCCACTCTTCCCAAAGACTAAATTTTGTTGTTAGACCCTAGAAAGAAGTTAAGAGAGGAAGAAATATCCCAGTCAAAAAGTTTTTCTGGGTCAAATCATCAGTCAGCATCAGAAACGCCCAAATCACTGTGTATAGGCAGATTTTACACTTACTACTCCCTTCACCAACATTGCTGTATCTGCGTTGTGACGGTAAACTTTCCAAGATCAGTTTGACATTAACAACTCAACTTAGAGAAGAAGCAATAAGACCTCTAGGACTTGTCATCCTTTCTTAAGCAGTGCCAACCTGGCAAGACAGAGGAAGTACATTCAGGAAAGCCATGAGAGAAGTCAATAACTTTGGAAAAGCAATAGCTCTAAGAGACAACAGTTACAGCTGCAAAGGTCTGGGATCTGCACTGTGGCCACCACCACAGTATGCTTTGTCCTGACCTTGAAATATTCACTGTTGCAATAACAAAGCAAGTGCTTTTTGGTACAGCAGTGAACATTTTAAGGTCAGGCGAAGTATACAGTCTTCCCCATCCCCTTCAGGGAAAAACTAATGGGACTACCACTTCCTAAAATGAACGCATGGTGATTCAAATTAGATAACCATTAAAGCCTCACTAAAGCTGAGTCACCTCCTCTTTGCTGCCACAGAGGAACAGAGGATAGCAACAGCCGCCACAGATCAGCTACTATGTGATAGTTTTGTATCTTAAATTTAGTCAAAAGAACTAGGTTCTACTCTTTGCTACAGACCAATTTTGCAGCATAGAAGAAAGCTTCAAAGTGACTTGCACGACCAGATTTTCCATTTGTTTAACTCTGATATTAATACTTCCCCCTCTACCTTACAGGGGACTTGCATGTCTCAGCTCATTACAGCTTACAAAGAAATTGGGATCCCTGTATGGAAATTGAATTACACTACATTACTAAAACTTTGATGAAAAATCCCTTATCTAAAAGCAGAAAAAGGATGAAACAATGCCTTGATGGACAGGACAGACTTTTAGCTTGTCAGCTTGTGTCCTGCACCCTCTTCCCTTGCAGGTGTAGCAAGAAAGTCTATAGATAAGACAAGAAGCTAAGCCACTGTGTACAATCAGGGAAGTCAGTATTTTGAATCCAATAATTCACATTTATACATTTAGCAATTACACATTACACTTACATTACACTTATAATCACTATATTACTATATATCTACTAAGAATGGAAACTTGGATCAATAGAGGCCTGAAAGAGAAAAGAGAAAAGAATAGATAAGAAAAATAAACATGCGTATCTCCACTTAAGAATCCCTAGTGAGAACAGGATTTGAGACAGAGTTGAAAGGAGAGCAAATTATTTACAAATGAAAGGAAATATCTGTTTTTAAGAAAAGCCACCCGAGTCACAGGATAGCAATCACCAGGTTTATTATACAGTGATAAAACAGTGAAGTGCCACAAGTCCAAGTGATGATTTATAGAATACAAGTACCTAGTTACAAAGACAAGATACATACCTTTAAAGGAACCAATGAATCCTAACAATAAATACACAAATGTATTATTAACACAATACATTGCATTTGATGAATCTAGCAGTATTCCCATCAAAGCCTGGGCATGCTGGTTCCAGGCAGGACAGAATTAATGTTTGCACTAGCCAGGAAGGGGCATGGCTGAGACCTGGAGGTTACTCTATACCACCTCATGTAGTTTTCTGGGCATGGGGAAAGGGTTTTCTCTGGAGCCAGTGGGGTGGAAGGAGCAGTTGAGTGCTATCCCTTGCCAGGGGGTTTCCATGTGAATTGCTTGCCTCTTTCTTGTACCCTCTGTTGTTAGTATTGTTGCTGTTACTACTTGTTTTCTTCATTCAGTGTTGTTTCCAGTAAATTACTCTTGTTTCAACCCATGATGTTTATGTTTTGTGCCTCCAATTCTCCTCTCCACAGCACCACAGGGGAGGTAAGGGGGAAAGGAGTAAGCAGTGGTTCAGTGGTTTGGAGAGTCTCAGCAGGAGCACTACATTGTGGAATACCATTCCTAAACCAAGAAAAAAGCATATCAAAGGATATAAAAATGCAGACAAATGTGATTTGAATGGAGAATGTCATTTAAATGGAGAAAACAGATAGTGTGAGACATTATTAGAAGTTTGGATCACAGGTCTCTGCCCTAGCCAACACGCTGTGCTTACTACACTTTTGAATGCAAAAAGATGCACCAACTTTCTTCTTACAACACTTTCTTCTTTTTCATTCATTTTATTTTCACTTTTTCTAGAAGGCAGGTTTGAGTATTAAAAAAAGCATCCAATTAGCATGAAACCTTATTTAAGCAATTTTATAGTTGTTAATTAAAGTACATGCTTTTGTATTGCAAGGCTAGCAAAGGCCTCATCATAAAAGACTCCAAAGTATTAAAAAGTAGCTCATATTAAGTAAGGTTAAATGGGATATGGCAATCCTTATGTTTTTTCGCACCTTCTGTCGGAGATTACTCATCAGAGAGTATTTCTTTTTCATATTATTCATCAATATATCTGCACAATAGAGAGACTGATAACAATCAGAAAAGTGCATTGCATATGGGGAGCCTCTTCTTTAACCTCATTTACTTGTGAAATTCATGCTGTAACTGTATACATGATAGGGGTTTGAGTGGCAGTCAAACAGTGTGTAGTACTGTTCCCTTTTGCTTATTGATGTATGTTCTGCCACCAATGCTTTAGAAGTGCCAGGCAAGGAACTAAGCCTACTTCTGACAGATTTTTTAAAGTCACAGTATGGTTTGATTAGCTATGTCAGAAGAGGATAAGCAGACAAAGGATAATCCTTGTGATGACAGATGTGACATATACCTTGTTATTGACCAACTCATTTATGGAACAGGATCCTTGCTTACCCAGAAAGGTCAAAGTGAGATTTTCCACAAAATCCCATTGGCTTTTTTTTGGTACATCCAGCACTAGGGTCTAAGCTTGACTTTGTGATTAACCAAAAGATGTACAATAATGGATTAATACCTTTCACCTGCTTCTTTTCATAGAGGAGCAATGAGATACTGCGTTTCATAGCCTCCCACGCATTTTAGAAAGTCTATTATCATATGCATTATAAGGACATCATTTATAGTAACACCAAGCAGGTGATGATTACTGCAATATTAATGGCATCCTAGCTCTTCACCAACCATCATTAATAGTTGACTTGCAACTGCAGCAACAACATGAATTTCCAACATCCAGCAAATTTGGATACCAAAGATCTGGGAGGATCTGCAGTTTGGAAGACAGATTTACATGCCTAGAACTACACTAGATATAAGACTGCTGTCCTCTGCCATGCAGATAAGCTCTCTGCCTTGGCATTGTGTCAGTAACTGCTCTTCCATCATTTGTTTCTTCCACAAACAAAATTGTTAGAGAACTTCCCACCTTTTAATACCCTGGAGGTTTTTTTCACTCATTTCTCAGATTTAGACTTTTGTAAAGTTTTATAAAAAATCTTTGACAGACAACAAAACACATGCAGTTTGTTGGCATTCTTTTCAGTTTCAAAACTACATAATAAATTTTTCCACACGTTGATAAACTAGATTTTAAAAGTGCGTTTTCTGGATATCTAGATAATCAACAACACAATGAATATAAACATTTTCTATAAATAGTTCACCATGTGGCTATCATTCTCAACAGATGGTGTCTGTGTATTCACTAGAATATACAAGAGCTATGCAAATTTTGCCCTGCAATCATTCAAAATTCTAAACAAGATTTTCTTACTTCAGTTTTATTAAGCTTAATCGAAGTCAAAACACGTAATTTTATCCCTTAGCTCTAATATGGGGAAAAAAAATGCCACCACTGTATAAACAAATCAATTTGCAAAAGGCAGTACAGTTGAAAGGATTTTAGTAAAGAGACACTAGATACAAGATTTTCTCAATCCTAGGACAGTACTCTGCTGCTAATGATAGTTTTAACCTACCTAAAAAGCTGACCCACCTGTAAACAGTCCAGTAGTTCATCAACAAGAATGCAGTCTGGACTATGTCATGAAAAAATCTGCAGTCCAAGGGATCTGAGAGTTTATATCTACTTTGCTGCAAATGTTCTCATATGCATTTGTAATGGCATCACTTATAGTAACACCAATCAGGTGATGATTACTGCAGTATTAACAGCACCCCAGCTCTTCACCAATCATCATTAATAGTTGACTTGTAGCTGTAGCAACAGAGCCTACTAGAAAGCCGACAGATTTTATCCAGTTTTAGTAAAAAACAAACTCACTCAATTTTTTACAGTTTCCTGAAAGCCAATATATAAACCTCTCCATGTTTTCAACTTTCAGAAGTTCAGAATCTTTATCAACACATGACCAAAAGTTGGCTAGATACTTGGCTATCCTGTTCCAACTTAAAACTATTTAAGCTCATATCACTGTATAAACATTTTCTGGAAAGTTCTTCTTGAGCTACACTGGCATGTCTGTTGGAAATCAAATTCTAATTTTTAGTTTAGACATTTCTATAGCATTTATTATCCACTTGGAAAAATATTAGTTTTAATTTCTATAGTTTTTCAAACTTGTTACTACTTCTCACCTGACACACATGGTAAAAGTAACACATTCCCATTCCTCTCTTAGTTATTAAGTTGTTAATATTTCTGTTCAGAAGGTCCTGACTGTTGTTGGCTTTGCCAGTCATGAGTTCTTCTCTATCTATTTCTATAGCTCCCAGCGTGCTCCTGTAGCAGGATCTACATCATTCCAACTAAATCACTACTTGTCCCTGCACAGACACCAGCTCTTAGTGCAACATCCCTAAGCATAGAGGAGGGAATCTCAGCCATTCCTCTTCAGAACTGCAAATAACTGCAATACTGGATAATAGCTTCACATGTTACAAAAATGTCTCTTTTTTTCCTCCTCTTTATGGTGACAGGAATATCTTTACATTATTGTAAGGTATTCAGTGCACCTGAAAGTCATGCACAACCGCAGATGGCAGATCACATCTCAAGAAGATCATATCTTCTAACCATCTAACAAATTGCCAAGACATTCCTCTGAAAATTAATGGTCATAAATTTAAATTTTATATAAAGGAGAGTACATAAACAAGAAGAATAATGCATGGTAGAGTGGTCTGGAATTGTGCCTCAGTGTTGACAACACACAAGCTTTTTGCCTCCTGCTAAGTACTTCTTGCTGATTTTCAACACACTGATTTGGCCAGACAATAACAACTGTAACTTTATGAGCAGGACACTAAGTATAAGTCAAGATATGCGTAATTAAATAACAATTGTTCTTCTTGCTTTAATACGTGTATTAGAGGTAAGGAACCCCCATTTGGTATTGGAGTAGCTAAAAGGATGAACAAGTGACAAGTGAGTCCAAGACTTGAAAAGGCGTATGTGTGTAGGATATTTTAAAAATATCCTACATACTTACACGTATCTGTGTAAGTATGCAGGATATTTTTTAAAACTTGTGTAAATCAAGTTCATAGGTTAGTTGAATGTTAATGGTCTTATTGCTAAAAGATACTGTTTCAAGTATAATTGAGAAATACATTTTAACTTTTATTCTTCCAGTTCAAACTATATACATAATATATACACATACGTATTATTTATTTTTCTGTAAATTAAAATCAGATGGGTTGAAGTTTGTTAAATTGAATGGCCTTAGAGCTTGCTAAATTGCTGTTTTGTCAAATACTTTTTATTGATTCAATGTTGCTTTTAACTTTTTCTTAAGATCCCTGATTTTCTCAAGTTTGCCAGTTAAGTTTTTACTGTTTTGACTCTTGAGGAGTATCTTGTAGGTATTCCTCTCCTGCATCTAACTCACAGCACATACATAAATCCCTGTAAGCCCCTTTCAGGGACTCAGTGAGAGGATTCCAGAGCCTTATAACCACCACATCTTTAATTTGACAAATTTCCTGGATGCTTTTACTTTGAGGATCACAGGAATGCATGGATTAGATTCCCATCATTGTGTGAAGCCAGCAATGAGTAGTAGACAACAATTCATTTCCTTTTTAACCAGTCCTAAAAGTATTTTACTTTCCCCTAACCACTGTAGCAGATAGGGCCTGGCGTTCGGAAGATCTCGTGATGTTACGGGAAGACAGGGCCCCTGCCCCCTTAGATAAGAAAATTAACATAGGAATGTAGCCCCCAAACGAGATTCCAGTAACTTTCCACTTGCCCAGGTAACTTTCCATCCCCTACTAACCATAGATGGTAAGGACAGACCCCCACCTGACGTAGAAGCCCCCTAGACTATAAAACCCCACGAGAAGAGAGAATAAAGGCCTTTGATCCTCCACCACATTGGTGTCCGCGTGTTTCTTAGGCCCGAGTGACCCTGGGGAATGGGTCACCGTGCTGTCTCCTGAAACCAGGCCGCCTGCCTTGTATCAGAAGGCAACAAACCACCAACTAATTAATTTGCCTAACACTTGCTGGCTCTGGGACAATGCTCTCATAACATCCTCTCACCTAACTCAGTCATTAACTAGGTTAGGGGAGCACTTCCCTTGTAAATGAGTCCCCTAAGCATTTTCACTTTTTTTTTTCTCAAAAGAAAGACAGTGCTTTTTAAATTTCATATCCAACTGACAGTATTTTTTCTTGAAATATGAAAATAAGTAAATAAATATCATTCTAACATCACTGTGAACTGGTGAAAAAAAATTTGCCTGCAGAGACACGACTATTCAGGGAAAGCTTCAGCATGTGTCAAAGGAAGGAGTAATTTAAATATTATGGTGCTCCACTTTATAAAATGATGGTTCTGAAACAGCTCAAGTACTGCCCGTGGTTTTGTTTAACTCATCTCAGGAGGCAAACAGTAGAAACAGAATAGGTCCACCATAAATGGGAGGTCAAAATAATCACACACTCATTCAGCTTGAACACATTAAGTCTTGAGCACAAGTAAGGCTGATTTATACAGTTCTAGGAAGGATCATGAAGAATCACCTAAAGATAGGGCTCACTTGAGTCTTACTGCAAAGCTTGTTTGTGTAGCCACAAGAACAGCTAGAATAGTCCTAGTCAGCTGGAACATATGAGCAGATACACTTAAGCTATGATAAAAATAAAGTCAGATAAAGACCAGGTGTGCTGTCAATGCCAGCTGCTATGGAAGATTCTGGATCAGCTATTCTACTTTTTATGATCACAGTGGATCTAAATGATGTGCTGGTTTGCAGAGTGGTTGAAATAATAGGTCCATGCTCTAATCATTAATTACTTGCATAATGTCACTTCTAGATGAGAATTTCCTTACCATGTAGAAGGGCAATGAATTAAGACATTTTCAAATTAGGAAAGATGACAACAATTAGGAAATTAATTAAAATTTTAAAAATAGATGATATGACAAGGATGTGAAATACAGAGATGGAGAGAGTAGGCATACACATGATTTCTTTCTGAGGAGGCACACACATGATTTCTTTCTAAATCTAAAAAGAGATCAGAAGAAAAATAAAATGTGTTTTAAGGGAACAGTGAATATGAAATGTCCACACAAAATATTTCCTGTGCAAATCACAGCAGCCCTTTGCTCCCTTTGGCTCATATTGATGAGAATAAAATGAAGTTCAAGAACCAGTTTTAGTCTATGAGCCGCTTTTAAAAGGACAATCTACTTCATTTTTAATGAAGGACATGAGACAGCAATCAACAGGAGAACCATCAAAAAAAAAAAAAAAATAGTACTGTATTTTCTCTGACATTTAACACAAAATGATGAACAGTCAGTTCAAAAGTTGACTGATTGGATCTTATTAGGCATCATCAGGAGGATTCAGAATTAAGAAGTGAATGTCTTAGTTCAGTGTGCAACATGTAAGTTTTCACAAGCGACAAATATTAACAAAAACAAATAACAAACAAACAAACAAACCACACAACCCCCCAAACAAATTCTACCTAAATTTTTCTGAATTTAAGAAATTGCAGTTTCTGAATTAAGCAATTACATTTTACAAGTGAAAAGGCAATAAAAGATGAGGAAAAGTTTTATTAATTGAAAACTATTAAGAAAACACTTTCTATTTCTAGATACACTTGTTGTGCCCCCAACGGAATTTAAGATCCTTTGCAACTTGAGTAAATAGAGCCTAAATTATGTGCTGAAATTTCCCTGAGCAGTATAGGTTTGCAAAAGTTACTAATTTTTTCCAAAGCCTCGTTTAAGTGCAATATCAACATATATTCATATACTTCTGTCTCAGACAGAAAGAACAAATTATACACCTCAAAACAGGAATTGAAAGACATCTGAGTATGGATCAAATACTACAGAAAAAATGTTGCTACTTTTTAAAACTATGTATTTTAAAAGAAATGCAGAATTTGCTTTGCAAATTTCACCTCTAAAATCTTTGTGAATTCACTATTATAAAGTCAAAAATACAAAAGGAAAATGTGATGATTTGCCAAAATCCCATTACCTCTGTGACAGCAGCACCTTGAAGGCCATCTGATTCTGTCCCAAGTGACCTGGCAGCAAGCTTGACCAATCCCAGTTCCATTCAGTAATGGCTGACTGTTGATACATGGAAAGAAGCTAGTTAGTTATTCATCAGCATTAATATGATCAGTACATTAAAGCTCCAGCTGTGATATACTAACAAAAGAGGGGGGTCTAGAATGAGGACTTAGAAAGATGTTATCAATCATGTCCACAGAAGAAGGTTTTTATTCCAATAAAATGGCAATTAATTAATTAGGGACATAGCCACACTTTATAAAAAACAGTGTTTTTAACCATTGTTATTCCAACTGTTGATGGCATTCTGATCAACTACTTTGTCTGTGAGCTTTACTCTTTTTCCAAAAAGTAAAATAGTTGGTAACTTTCTATGTAACAGCAGTTTGTATTTTCTGCTGTCAGCAAAAAGTTATGTCATGAAAAATTTGGCATAGCTGGAATTCAAAAAGTAACTTGTATCATAATTAGAGTGATTTAATGCTGTATTATAAACAGCATTAAATCTATAAAATAGGAACAAGTATAACTCCATAGCGCTTATTTAATAAACAAAAGCAATCTACATCATCAGTGGGCAGACAAGAGACCATACACAACATTCTTATTTTTATAAAACAGTAAATCCTGTTGCATAATGTTCCTTATCGTTGTCAGCAATGGTCAAGTAGTGACTATAATCTTCTTGGGAGGAAATAGGTACAAAGTATTACAATAAGTATTATTGCCGTAATATGAAACATCACTGAGTAGTAAAGAAAAAAATGTTTAAGCAAGTCAAAACAATGAAAATAAACCTAAATAAATAGTAAAGTATAACTTGGAGTGTATCTTTTTCTTCTTACAGACAGCACTTGGTTCTTCTGGGAGAGCAGAATCACTGCAATCCCTCCTATTCCTCCCATCTATATTTCATCACTTTCCTTCACCTTACCTAATTTACTCCCTATCCCCCACCTTTGCCAGGCATGTTAAAGTAAAGTAGAAAAACAAAGGTGAAATACAGAGCACGAAGGGGATATAAGGGTAACCAGAAAAAAAACAAAATACTGAGAAAACAGAAAGCAAATGAATAAGAAAAGGTTCCTTGTCAGTGCTCTGGCATCTTTACAGGCACTGGAAATAATTTTCATTGGAAACAAGGCACTCAGCTATACTGATCACTGTTTTATAAATGGCCAGTCCCACATAACAAATAAATGTAAAATTTAATGTTAAAGGGAACTGAACTATTTAATAACATCATTAAACCTGGAAATAGAATCAGAGGAGAGAATTATAGAATGATTGAGGTTTGAAGGGATCTGAAAGATCACCATGTTCCAACCTCTTGCTATGTGCAAGGCACATCTTTCACTCGAATAGATTTCTCAGAGCTCTGCCCAGCCTAGCCTGGAATGCTTTAAACAGATGGGGCAATCACAGCTTCTCTAGGCAACCTGTTACACTGCCTCACCACCCTCACAGGAAATAATTTCTTTCTAATATCTAATCTCAGCTACTCTCTGTTTGAATCCATTCCCCTTTGTCCCCTTTACATGCTCATGTAAATTGTCCTTCTCCATCTTTCTTGTAAGCTTCCTTCAAGTACTGCAAGGCTGCAATTAGGTCACACTGAAGCCATCTCTTTTCCAGGCCAAACAATTGCAATCCTCTTGCCCTTTCTTCATAGGAGAAGTGCTCCATCCCCCTAGTGATTTTGCTGTTCCTCCTCTGGACTGGCTCCAGCAGCTCCATATCCTTCCTGTGCTGGGGACCCCAGAGCTGGATGCAGCACTGTAGGTGGGGTCACAGGAGCAGAATCAACTCCCTTTACCTGCTGGTCATGCTCCTTTTGATGCAGCCCATCAAACAGTTGGCTTCCTAGGCTGAATATGAGGAAGAACTTCTTTCCTGCCTGGCTGACTGACACTGGAACAGACTCCCCAGAGAGACTGTTGAATCCTTCTCACTGGAGATAGTCAAGAACCATCTGGACACAATTCTCTGCCCCTGTGCTCTAGGACAGCCCTGCTTGAGCTGGGAGGTTGGACCAGATGACCCACCATGGTCCTTTCCAATCTCACCCATTCTGTGGTTCACTGATTCTTGATTGGAAGGTCCCTTCCAACTCAAGCTATTCTATGATTCTATTGATTCAAAGATTCTATAAAGCATGCTTCTCTGGAATGAGGAGCCTTGAGCAGCCTTGTGGAATTGGTATTTGTCTCCTTTTTCTAGATATTAAGACTTTTATTGCAACAGTACAATGATTGTACTGTTCATTAAACAAGTAAGAAAAACAGCAATATAACCGATGAAATAGACCAAAATAGTCAAAACTGGAGAGATTACACTGTATATAAGCAGGGCTGCACTGAAAAAGGATGCATTTCCACACAAGTCTGTAAAGTGAATTTTGTGTCACTGTGATACCACATTTTTTCAAATACTTGAATTGAATGCTGGAATCAAAAACACTGATGACATATTAAGAATATATGAGAAACTATGGCATAAGATTTTTTAAGTACAAAAGTGGTATCAGAAACTATCTAGCATTTTGTGTAATGAATTGGTCATGGAGTGCTCCAGCAGAGATTTAGGCAACTAGATCTCATTTCTTTAACTGTTCCATTATAAGGAAACTAAATTCTAATAAGAAAATTGTAATCCTTTACATATTATGAGTATGACTTAAAGAAAACCAGAAATGTATGCATTTTTGTGTGTGTGTGTGTGTGTGTGTGTGTGTGTGTGTGTTTTAACTCACTTAGTCTCACTGTTCTGTAAAATCTCTGTATTTCTAAAGCATTCTTTACTTGACTGTTCAACGTATCTGTGAAAGCCCCACAAGGAAGATTATAAATATGAACTTTTATAGTTCTGATATGATTTTTCAAAGGCCTCAGACTAACCCTATGTACTATTGCACAGATGTAATAAAAGTTATTGCTATTAGGGGCTTTCCCTCAGTATACTGAACGCAGAAAGTGTAAGTATATGCAAATTGCTCTTGCATGCAATAATTCTGATCAAGGAAGAGGCCAGTAATGGCTTTTTGAACATCATGATATAGTAAAAAGGGTACCCTCATTACACTCCCAAGAAATAATATATCTTTCTGCTTCATTAAATGTGAACACACATAAATAAGTCTCCATTTTCATACATTCAGTCTTTATCATTATCATGATCATAATAATACCAACAAGTAAAAATATACTATAACCAAGGTTTCAGATTTTCACAAACCTGATTGAATACTTTTGCATAAGATTGTCTGTACACCTGGAAAGGGTTGAAGACAGGCTGCTCTTCTCTGCCCTTCAGCGTCAAAGGCAGATATTGACTTGAGGTAACACCATCTTCAGAAGAATTCTCACAAGACAGCTGCTCTTTCAAATATTCCTTTTGGAAGAAAAAGCAACCACAGAATAGTACAGGACACCTAGCTTTCTATGTGAAATTTGCCTACATTTCAAGCAGAAGTTTGGAAGATAAAAGTTCCTTTTAATACAATGGGGAATTAAAAATCTTTTTAAAAAAACAGAAACTTTTTTAACAATATCACCATTTTACAATGAACAAGAAATAACCTCGGAAAACATGCACCCAGCTTGAGCAAAACAGAACAATCTAACCTATTGCTTTGAAATTCTTGTCAATTTATTTGTATGAGTTCTCAATTTATATATATATATATATATATGCACAAGGTATATGTAGAAGTGAACAACAAATGTTTTTCATGACTTTTGAATTAAACTTCTTGGAAAACAGTCAATCATTACTATAAATCAATTCTTTGATTAACATGTTGAAACCATGTTGTTCAAACATAGGAATAAATATTCTCCCACTCTTGAAAGCTATTTTTAGCTGCTTAAACATTCAAGGACTAGAAGCAGTATGATTTGCATTGCAATTTTAGAAACTATACTGTAACAGATGCATTATTATTTTGGACACCATCTTTTCTGTTTTCACTTCTTTGACTACTATGTAAATAAATCATCATTGCAGGCCAATAAAGTGTTTTGATTAAATAGAACCATTTTATGAAGAACTAGATAATGAAACATTTACACATCCATTTGCTAGACTAACTACTGTGAGTAAACAGTTTATTGTTATTAAAATGAAGTCCATTACACGGAGAAGTACTCAAGGTGAGTCATTAGGATGGGTGGATGCAAATGCTCCTCTTATTTGCAGTAATGCCGAGGTGGAATAACAGGCAAACTACCTGCCAAGGCATCCTGCGCCTCTCAGTAGGTCTTTCTAAAAGAAGAATTACATCATCTGTTTAAACTTACCCAATTATGGCCTGACCTGAAAGGCACAAATTCAGTTTCAGGCCACACAGACTGTAGCTGTTTCTCCCTTGTGTTGGCACTAGCATATGTTGTGAAATCAGCCAGGGAAAAAAAAGGCTTCATCCAGATAAACAAGCCAAATGATTTCTATTACTAGTACAAAGGGGGGGGGGCTACGAATGGAAAAGCATGGGGGCAAGAGAAAGAGAAGGACTGTCTCTCTGCTGGTTGCAATCAAATGTCATGTCTGACCAAGAGAATCACAAAATTGTCTTTGTGTATGGAAAATATCCCCAAGCAAAAGAAGAAAAACAAGGTGAGCTTTTTCCTGCTTAAAACAGTATCACAGAGCAACTGGGAAAACATACTCTCTTTTAGCTATTTTTACTCAGCTTTTCAAAAATATCTGGATTTTTATTTCCCCATTCATTTGTTCATTCACTACTTTATGCTATAACAAAGATTTCAGAGCCACAGTGAAGGAGGTTATTTAAAAGCTATTTCCGTACATCTACCAAATTTTCATAAATGTACTGCCTTCCACGTACACATTTTTACAAAATCTGTAGATTAAAGCAACCCAGCCCTCTGGATGTAACAGAGACAGCAGAAGCAGATTGTGTTGCTTTTTCAGAAGCAATACTGGAAATAGCTGTCCATGTGTTGCCAGATGAGGAACTACTTGCTCAGCTGGTGGGAAGACACAATGCTTATTTTGCAAATCCAGTAGTCTACAGAACGGCGCTATCCGTATTCTGTAGGATCATGTTAAACATTAACAAAGTAACGAACCAGCCTGGGTATGCCATCTCAGCTCCCATTGTGGAATGTAACACCAGTTCACTGAATGGGTAACTTCGGGGTCTGGGACCACCAGAGACCACAAGAGGGACCCCCGGGACAGACAAGCACACGCGCAAAGTGGGGAGGGCATGTTATAGGTCTCCAGGAAATTATTATTATATGTATGTTTCGTTCTGGGAAAATCAATGAATATGTATGTAAAATACAGTATATAAAACAGGAGGTTTTCTGTACTTGACATGCACGATTCTGGTGGAGATATCCCTGCAGCATCTGACACTGAAATAAAGAATGCCTGCTTCTTAATGTTACAGTGTTGTTAGGAGGGAGATTTTGACCAATTTTGCTAACTCCTGCTTGCCAGGGTTTGAAAAATTCAAGTGGTATACAACTGACCTCAATAAAAGTATTTTTCCGTCTTTAATAAAATACTGTGAATTTGCTTTTGGTGAAGAGACTTATTCAACAATGGTAAATACATTACATTAAGATGCCCTTTTAGTACAGTAAATATCATAGTCACTGAAAGGGTCATGTTTCAAAAATGTGAAAATATGAAATCACATCTGTAAACATGTGAACTATATCCTCAGTACACTCACTGGGCATCAAACCAAGTGTACAGAATATTATTGAGCCTGACAGATCAGAAGAGTTATCTCTTTCGTTGTCATTACTAAAAAAATATTTTAATTTTTTTTTTTTGCCAACACATGAAGGGCTGAACGCTGTTTTGAGTATACAGCAACTGTTAAAAATTTTCATAAAAACTATTTTCACATCCAGCTTCCAAGAACCCATATCCTTTTCCATCTGCTTTTCTAAGGAATATTACTAAGAACAACAATTTTCTGTCCCATCATTTTGTTTTTACACATGATTACCAAGCACCGTAGCATAAAGATCTCTAAAACTTATTTTAAGAACACAATCCTGTGACATTCCAAGGAGTCCTTGAAGAAAAGAGTGGACCTTTGAATACAAAATCAAATCTATTTCTTGGTAAGCAGGCACATAAAACATAATTTAGGTTTTGAAAAATAATATTGAAAAGTCTATAATCATAATACCATGCTAAGCATTAAAATGTTTTGTAATGGTTTCAAAGGCATTTGAAAGTAATATAGTTAAATCCTTCTGTAACTCAAGCTGGTCAGGATCTCTCTTCTTCTTCTTCTCTTTTAAAACAATACAGTTTTTTCCACTGAGAAATGTTCTATTTTTAAAAAGGGTCTAACTAGCTGCAGAAATTCAAGGAGAGACACCTGGGATGTGGAAAGTCAGGCTGAAGTCCCTTTTCCCCCTAATTCTCTTAGCTTCATACCTCCTATTGGAGCTGCTCCACTTTGTATAAATAACCGAATACTCACAGGAGTCAGATCTTAGATCAGGGTCTCCAAAACCCAGGATATGCATTTTATTCCTTCAGCTACAGTATCATTCTATTTTTGACCCTAAAAGTTACAGAATGCATTTTTACCACTATTTCTACAAGGCAAAACAACTTCAACAAGGGAAAAAGGAGTTCCATGCTGATAGCTAATGGTATGGAGGTTTGGGGAATTAGTTCAGATGTGGGAGATGCAGATTCAATTCCCTGTATAAACCAGGAAGTATAAAGATTTGAGCCTGCATGTGCTGTCCCCTAGATAACTGTCCTAACTTCTAGATTATATGCTATTTTTGATGGTCTTTTCCAAATCTCTTTATACCTAATAGTAATCCTGAATGTGCTCCAGGTGAGGAAGTTTGGTTTATTACAGTAATAATTTTCACTTCACTTCCTAAACCAGTTACAGGAAATTGAAACTTGAGAAGATTCTATACGGTACCAATGTAAGGTTGCCATCTCTGCACATATGCTTCCATTGCTTCTGATGCTTCCAAAGCCAGATTCATAAAGGTTGTTTTTAAGCCTCTACTTAGGAACTAAACAGTTGGATCCTATTTTCAGAGACATAGTATGTGTACTAAGGTGTTCTCTATGGCCTCCCTACAGACAGAGCTCTCTAAGTCAGAGTTTTCTACAACCAGGTATTCCAGAAGAAAAATCCTGGCCTCTGCCTATATTTGCATTATTTTGTATTTTATTACAAACACTTCTGTACACTTGCAAGGGTCTTAAGCACCTGCTTATGCATTCAAGGAATTTAGTAATTAAAACTAAAATCAGAACTTTCTAAATTAAGTTGTGTTACCATACAATTTAAACAAACCTATGATTATTTCAGTGAATAAAACCAAAATGCTTTTGGTAATTTGGGGCAATTTAGAATAGCCTTAGAAATAATGCTGTTATGAACAAAAATTCAGTTAACATTTTTTGTGAGAAAGAGTTGCAGGGACGCAGCCAGGTCTCAGGCTCTGCCAGGATTCTTAATGCTTTGTTATTGTAATACCGGGTAGTTAAGGCTTATCTCCTCTTTTGTATTAGTAAAAAGCCTGGCTGGGTGCGGTAGATTGCTCTTCCCCGAGGCTGTGCTCTCTTACAGCATAGGGAAGACACCTGAGAGGGTGGGGGGGGTTATGCAAAGTGACTCCAAAGTCCAGAATGCTTTGTGGGACCCCGACTCGAAAGGCAACGAGAAAACCCCAAAAACAACGAGCCAAATAAGAATTGAGAGACTAAAGTGATGTCTGGACGTGAGGAACCGAGTGCTGAGCCTGCAGAGATGCGGAGCCCCTCTCGCCCTGAGCAGGGAGTGGTCCCAACGCCGGGACCAGACAGCCGCCGGGGCAGAGAAAACAACATCTGACGAGGACATCACGCCCTAAAGGCTCCCACGAGGACTGGATCCCCCGGCTCTGCCCCTGGCGGACACAGCTGCGCATATCCTCCTCCTCTGAGTCGCCCTGGGAGACGCGACGGGGACTGCAGCCCTGCCGAGTCGCCCAATCCTGAGCTGATCACTTTTAATAAAGGCATTAAAAAGGAGAAGAAGTCTCCTGGCCCTGTTTATTTCAATGCAATTACTCTTTTACATTACCAAAATTCCATATGCAGCAAACAAATCTGAATTTGTATCTTGTAATTTTAAAAGCACTTTGGCTGAACAGAATTGTCTAAATTGAGTAAGATTACATTTACTTCCTCAGTACAACCATAGGGGTTGCTTACTTGTTTAAACCAAGATAGTTAATTAACCAAGTGTAATTTTACCTTTGTAACAGTCAATTCTTCAACAGCCTTCGTTGATTTTTAAATTTATTTTTTTTACTGTGCTCAGACTCCTAAAATGAATCTGTGGTCTACAACATGAAACTAAAGGAAGTTTATGAGCCATACTACTGTCTAAGTACCTAAATAAAATCTACAGTGTTTCCTCTAATGTAGTCTTTTCTGTAGAAATGCACAAAAGCCTAAACTGAATGCATTCTATTAAAACACAATACAGGATTCTATAGTGATTTTAAGAAGTATTATCACCTCCTTGACTAACCCTTAGCTGTCAGCAGATGTTGCCCCAGGCCAGTACACACCTAATTGGTCTGCGGAAAGGCCCGTTTCCCTACCTCATTGAGCCGGATGATGTGATAAATTTGCCTCAGGTACTCACTACCACCTGGTTTGTGGCAGATATCCAGGACCATCATGTTTATATTATGCTCAGACAATCCAAGTGCAATGCCTCCTTCCTCTAATGTTGCACCTTTAACTGTGACTGAGACACTAGAAGATAGAAAAGATACAGTCCTAAGTTAAATTTACAAAAAGCAAAATATTAATATCAACTCAGCTATAACTACATGTTCAAAAAAACCTCGAAGTACTCAGACATATGTTACTCTACATATATCTCTCACATAATACATGTTAAATAACAGTATTATACTAATTTTAATCACCTTAATTGGAAAGATGAACAGATAAAACACTCCTTAAGGATAACGAAGTAGCAAATATTTTCATTTCCCCTAGAGAAGTATCTTTGGTACTAGAAATGGCATTTACATTTGATCTCTTGTGCATTTTTCCTTGCCTGTCACAGCATATATAAAAGCCTAATTAACATGTCAGAAAGGTAGCCATTACTTTAAGTATAGGTTAGAAGTTTTAAATTTAAGTAGTTTCATTTCCACTGCTATGTTATTAACCATTTAAAAGGTCCTTATTTGCCACTTGTTGCATTTTTTGCCCTATACCATTCCTTGGGGCTTTTTTTGTATTTGTGTGAAACTTCTACCATGAAAATCTGGAAGTGACATTCCCAAATGCCTCCAAAAATGTGCATTCAAATCTCTGATTGTTGTCAGACTCTCTGCACGCAACCACAAGTTACTATCTTACTACTGCTACTAATGAAGTCTGAGAAAGAAGTAGTACTAAAATTTTCCTCAAATACTAGAGCTGCAGCACAGGTATTTAACAATGTATGTGTCAAGAACTCAAAAGATTAACAAGAATATATTGTCCTTTCTACAGATACCTTCGGATAATTTAAAATAAACAAGGAAGCATTATCAATCAATTAAAAAATCGGTGTTGTAACTGTTAAGAAGTAAAACAAAAAACAAGCCATCAAAAAAATCCCCAAAATCTGAAAACAAAACCACTGTAGTTGCATTTTACTGTTTAAAGTGTGCCATGGTTACAAAGTCAGTCCTTCTGAAAGTTGCTGTTTGACCTACAGGCTCTCTGAAATGCTGCACAGCTGCTGGACATTAAAACCGATAGATATTGCTTCCACATGCAGTTTCAGAATGTCCTACAGAGCAAATAGTTTCAAAATATAAACTATAATTTTGTTCTTTGCTGAATGCAAGTAAGTGATACTATATTATTATGGTGTACTTTACAGAAAAGCTTCAAAGAAATTGATCTTTAAATTAAAGCACATTTAAGGATGATATTTGATGCCACATACAGATACAACCTGAATTTCTTGTCAAAATTTGTAGCAACTAACATTGAAAAAGCTAAGGATCTCTGACAAAGGAATGTATCAGTGCCAGAAGCACCCAAATTGTATTCTTTACTGCCCGTTACTGCGCAGGTGAAGCAGATGATTGGATTCAGGCAGCACTATGATTAATGACTTCCTCTCTGGATTTGGGACTGCCTATCAATCATGTCATTAGCAAGAATGTGCCCTGAGAGAGGCAGACCTCAGCCAAGGAATAACTGCATTCATCTTAATCTGTATATGCACCCAGCCAGCAAGGTCAGGGTCACCATGATGAAAAACAATAATCTTCAGTTCGACAAATTACTTCGCAAAGACAGACATTTCTTTTCTTCCAGGATGTGTGTTTTTTAGAATCTAACGTGACTGTTTACAGCTCTGGTGCTACCATAAAGTGAAGGTTACTTTAATGAATAGTAACACTTTCAGGCAGTACACAAGACAGGTAAAGAACCCTTGCCATTTTCTGAACCTTTCAATGAGGGCTACAATTTTTGAAATATTCTTCAAAATAAAGTTAATATATAAATTTAGACTTTTTATGTAAATAGCAATACTGACAATAACAACATAACATGAAATCAAGCAAGAATTTTACTTACAAAAACCCTCTACACTTCAAAAATGTTTTTATCGCTGTGTGGGTGAGTCCCAAATAAATTTTTGAAATTTATTGGGTTTTTTCTTTCCTATGTATCTATTAGAAGTCTATAAACATTTACAAATATGTGCGTATATATATATATGCACATGCATCCAGCTAAATCAGAAAATAATTTGATTATTGAATGGTTACATAGCACAAATATAGTACATAGTACATAATTACAATATAGTAATTTCATTCATGAAAATCATAAATCCCCTCTTGAAAGACTGTTTTAAGTTTAGTAATTATGTGGTCACTACTTACTTTAATTGATTATTTGAATTTCAGCTTTAATATATTAGTTTTGTAATTTGCATTTACAATAACATTTATCTCTAGATACCTCAGGTATTTATAAACTGGATCTTTTTTTCCCACAGATATTGACTGACAATATTTGAATGAAAAGTGGAAAAACAACATTCATATTAGATTTCTATTGCAGAAATGCAACTGAAGCCAGGGAAGTCAACTTCATAACTGCATCAAATAACTGCTCACTTGGAGAGCAGGCAATGTAATCTTCATTCTAAGCTTAAAATTACCAGGCCTAATCGCAAGCTCGTTCTTTCATTCCTGTAAACAAACTGTAGACATACAGAAACATTTTCCCATGTTTTATTTTCCACAATCTGATACCTAACATGTAACACAGCATTTTTGTCGTATTTTACAAAAGAAAATACAGTAGCATATTAAATTAAAATTCTTAGCTTCTGGAGATGTGTAAACTAACTCAAGTTTTAGTTTTTAGAGGTTATCCACAATATTTTCTTCCTATATTTGTATTTTTAAGAAGTACCTATTCTCAGTGACATTACAAACTGTATTATGGGACCACTGTGTTAAGTATCAATTTACAAATTATCATTATGCTCTTTTATTCTACAACTCCGTCAGTCACTGGCATCTGGCTTCAATCTTTTAATCATTGGATTAGATCTTGTAAATTAAATGGAAATGCAAAGATAACAAAGGTCAGTGTCAATGAGTGTTTATGTGACACTATTACTGCTTACCACATTTATTACTGCTACCCACATTAACTGACTACTCATAGAAACAAGACACTGTCCCTTAAAACCTGTTCAGTGGTATCAGTGACGAAAACCTGCATGAAAACCTGTTCAGTGATATCACTGATTCCAGCCTACAATCACTGTATCCTTTGTTTACAGGGACAAATCCTGACATGACAACAACTGCAACCTTCAAGCTTACTCACGGAATACTCATGGAATAAACCAGCAATCTTACTTTTGGTCGTTACAATTTAATTCAGTAAGTCATGCTATTCCAATCAATCTAATATGGCAAAGTCGATGAATGGTATTTTTACAGAATGATACATGAATGCAACATTAAAACAGACTGGACTACAAACACACTGACGTGTACACAACTCCTTGAAAAATCACTGTAAAGGTTTTAATGTCAAATCTGAAGGAAAAATTGGTATTTTCTCAGAAAGGCACAGCAGGATATTATTCTTCTCCTTTTATGATATACCCTATTTGCCTCAGGGTTTTATATGTTTTAGAATAAAGTATGCTTACTTTTTATTCACAGATGAACACTGAAAATTTCTCACAGTTCCTCTTAATTTAATCACCACAGTAAAATTAAATTATAAATGCATTTAGTACCTGTTTATATTTTGAAAGATCATGGACTTGTCCATATTTTTGATAACATGAAATCTTGTAGTACTATGAACACACTGTTCTGATGAAAAAACCATATTTTAGTGTTTCAGCAATGAACTTAAATTACAAACCCATGGTATATCAATATTTAGGACTAATCTGTTTCATATAAGATCACTGCTCATCTCTTTTCCTTAAAATTGAGCAGTAGCCATAAACATGCCAATAATCCAGTAAAATAAAGAGCAAATAATAGCATTTGAAAAATACTATGTTCTTACCAGTCTATGCTCAATTTTCTTGCCTTCAGCAACTGGCTCTCAATCCAGTTTGGTCTTTGCTGCTCAATGCTTTGTATGATCTTCTGGGTCACTTGCTTAGGACCACTTTTCTGTTTTCCCATAATACTTTCTAAGCACACACGAACTAAACTGAGTTTTTCTTTGCTCCATCTGTCAAGTGTTGCACCTGTTAAAAATTCTGCAGTATTTCCATCCTCAAATATCTGACATATAATTACAATCAAGTTCCAGACAAGCAGACCAGCTTTCTTCAATTCAGCAAAGTTTCTTGACATTTTTCTCTCAGCCAGAAAAAAGAAGTATTTAACTGGGGGAGGCAAACATGCAATCACTGTAGGTAACTTGCTGATTACAATAGATACTGCTTGAGCTGCAAGCCTTGTGAAGCCTTAAAAATAGAAAGAAAAGATTATATGATTAACATTAACAGTATAGTTCTAACTGCTTCTGAATGTTGTATGATAATTTCTAACTTCCTTTTGTACTGAAAATGGGTAAAAAGCTTAAGTACTCAACACTGTACTGTAGTTTCACTTGTATTATGCTATCTGCACATAAATCCCACAAAACTCAAACAACTACATTAAATAAAAGCAGAAAATTTAAAATTTAGACTGTGACTCTCAACAATTAGTCCTGGTGTGTACAGTCATTACAAAATCATGAGAAAGACAGTACTCAGGTATTCTGAATGGTAAAAAGTTGTCTTCAAAATTATAGCATTTTTTCAACTTCACAACTGAAGCATTGTGCTAAGTGTATCAGAATATTACATACATTTATAACCACTAGTTTTTTATAAATTCTTTTCTAAGTTCAAAATTACAAAAGTTCAGTTTATCATCTTTCATTTAAACATCAACACTAGATAGCACTGCATTTTAAAGACCCTATATAATAAAAGTAGCTATAAAAGTAACTACAGGGAAATTGTGTTGCTCAGAACCCAAGACATATATAAAATGAAAAACATAGCAAAAGGTGTCAAGATTAAAAAAAGCACCAATCTCCAAACAATTCAAGAAAACCCTGTGTCACTGCACCTGCATTCCAAATGTTTTTCTTTTATTAAAAAAAGGAACCATATCTGTTCTAGATATCACACATACAAATTTAAATTGTCTTGAAGCCTAGACTGTTACCTCTCAGTTTGCATATCAGTTCACACATAGCAATTAGCCAAAATAGCCATACAAAAGTTCTAGATTAAAATGAGAGTGCTGTGAAGATGTATGAAAAAAAAGAATGGATTGATGCCCTGGCTTGGCCACAATCTACATACTCAAAACTCTGTGCCGTAATATACTACAGTTTTGAAAATAATCAGGTAATATTTTGGTGGCAAAAATTTATCATTAAATGTTTCTAAAAGTTAGCCTTCTGAACCACAACCTGAAATGACAGATGCTTTAGGCACTGTGGGCTATGAAAATACATACCAGAAATCAGCTTTACATCTAAGCACCTTCAAAACACCTCCTGTTCTGTATGATTTCTTTCTTCCTTTACTGTTTCAACAACCAAGCAGCAGCATATTTCACAAAAGTTTCAGTGCTTGTTTTATTCAAGCATAAATTGCTGTATGGTAAAGTTGGGGTGAATGACAATCCCAAATGAAAAGATGATAATGAAAAGGAAAGCTGTTTACAGCCACTGAGGCCAAAGTATAAGCATTACTCTTCACTTTGTTTTGAATCCCATCTGACTACTGCCAGATGCTGGAAACATCTCCAGCATATTATTATCAATACTACAATACTGATTATTTTCAAAATCTTGTTTGTATATGCATGGCTGCAAGCCTCAAGAGAGAATAACCAAATTTTAATGGGAAGTACTGAAAACATCCCAACCACCACAAGATGTTTAGGAATAGTTTGTTCATTGTAAAGCTATAACACTCACAAAATTTAATTGCCTAGTTTTGGAGTAAATGAGTGAAGGACTTAAAAGTTCTTATGAGAAGCTTACAGGATGCATTGTACACATATATAAATATTATGTTTAAATTTCACCTACATTTGCCAGATTCTTTTCTCTTCATTTCCCGAGGAGTGTAATTCCATTCCTTTGGAACAGTTTTCAGTAAACCTTCAGGAACTATTTGCTTGTGCTGGTATGTTCCATAGTTTTCTGTTGCCTCCCATGAATGCATCAAAGAAATTATTTGTTTCACTATACCCTTCACTGAATTAATCAAAGTCAACTTCAAGCATCTGACAACTTCAGGCTCCGACTCACCACAACTGGAAACTTCAGAAGGAAGAACTATTAACTATTCAGTAAGTGTAAATCTGTTTCAGAAAGTGTTTTCAGAATTCTTATGGAAAAAAAAATTAACGCATGTCATAATAAATTAGACCTATTTGTCTGTTACAAATTAAGAAAGAGTATATGCAAAACATATGGCATCTTGGTACCATCTTAATACAGTACTGACAAAAAAATCAATTTATTTCCTTAATTCTCATTTCTCCACTGATATATTTAAAAAATTCTATTTAAGCTGATTGATGTCTTCCTTTTTATATGGAAAACATTTAAGTATTTGTTAGGCATCAATGAGGCAAATAGATATACCTTTTTTTCTACTTTCTTGTCTTGAAAGTATTAAAGAAGTTGCATTTATTACATACCCAAACTGGTACACAACTGACAGTAAAGGAAAAGAAAGGTATTTTGGAAACAAAAATACATACAAATAATAGTTATCAACAGAAACACAGCATGTCATCAGAGACTGCATGTTCAAAACACACCATCATAAATACAGTTATTGACATTACAACAAGTATCAATCTTCTCCACATTCTTAATATCACAGCAAACTGCAGCTTCTCCATTGTCATGGAGCTGCAATTGTCAGACAGTGTGTTGCAGAGTGTTTCAGACAGATGTTTTGACATGTTAGATCTTTAGATCCTTTGCTCATACTTTTGCTTCCCTCTACTTTTTGCTGATCTAATCATGATCTTTCTGGAAGCTTCCAAGCACTATTTCACTGTTTTCCTTCCTCTTACATGTTAAACTTCTACTTTTTGCAATCCCATTTTTCTCTAAGAAGTATCTGAGCACTTTTATCATTGTTTTCTATTTTGTGATGCTCATAATTCTATTTCCCCTCATGCATTCTCCCATTTTCATCCTCTTCTTTCGAGCCCTCCTGCTTTTAATCCATAATTTCCAATATCACCCTTCTAAACCTCACCTCTCTTTTCTGATTGAAAACTGTTTCCCTAAGGGATAGAATTAGTTGCTCTAATTGTGAGGCCAGCTCTCCCCCTCAACAGAAAATTAGGAGGCTGAATGCCTGTTGACAATAGAAACTAAATGCCGATCAGATTATTTCTCCTCAGCAAGAGAAGAAGTCCTTCCTTCTCTTTTTTCACTCTTCTCCCTTGCTTCCTCTCTTTTAAATTGTGGCAAAGGTCTGGAGCTGTTGAATGCATAGAGGTGAAGAACCTCTACTGGTTGAGACCTACAAAAACATTCTGCAGCCAGTCTGCTGGTAAGACAAACACTTGAGGTCATCAGACTCCTGATCAACAACACTGCTCTGGAACCTCTGCATTCTTCAAAATTTTAACCACTCTTACCATGGCCTGACTGCACAAAACCCTTAAATAATACTATAATTTTGAAGTAAACTAACATACTTTCACCTGATTGATCATAAATAAAATAATACTCACTGCATGTCTGAAAATGAACAACATTTAACATCAGATTTGAAATGCTTATTAAGAAATTAATAAATGAATAAAAACCTGTCATATTGTATAAGCAGCTCCACAGCAGCTCTTTTTCCATGTAGGACTCAAAAGCAATGCCAAGAGATTTGGGTGATAAAGTGCAGTAAGACAATACTGTGAAGATTGTTTCAATCAGAGTAGGCTCTTTGTTATTTTCCTGTTCCAAGAGAGAACTTTGTTCGCCACAATTTAATGCTTGATTACCTTCAAAATAAACAAAAACATGGTTCCAATAATTTCCAAGTAATTTAAGGTCTCAGTAATGAATAGTATTATTCAAACCAAACTGCAAAGTGTATCTGAATAATATTTCAAACAATAACACTTACAGGTACTAAAATCTGATCTTTCTCTGCCTACAGACAGTTGACTGTCTTCCTGAATACTGTGAAACCAATAAAAAAAGAGACTTAGGCATGTTTTCAAACTATGAAATATGCCTATTTAATTAATAATTAAATTGGAATTGACTGTAATTAGAAATTTATTATTTACTGAAGATTAATAATTAGATTCTAAACTGCAGAATCACAGTAAAAAATCTATTACTGCTTAACTCTTCCTTATATATAATAGTCATATGAAACAATAAAATCCCATTTAGACATAAAAAACTAAGAAAAGTAGGAGCTCCATATTCCCTACAATGTGCTTTGTTTTTCAGTGTAAGATGAAACTCAGAATAAAACAGTTCCACAAAACAAAATCTCAGCCCTGCTGAAATACAGATTTTAAAGACAAGTAGTGAATATCATAAAGTGATATTAATTTCACCAAATTCTAGAGGGAGTTTTGCTAAGATTTCAAGTACTATGTAAACTTACAAATAATTACAAATACTTCTGACAATCATTACCACACAATCTCCCTCCTATAACACATAAGGATATGTTCAAAACTCCAGGAATCAATGCAATTCAATGACTTTGATTTGTGCTAATGTTGAAGAGCTGAGCTTCCCACCAGTTTGTGAAATATGCTTCCAACTGTGAGAACCAGAGCCATAACCTGTTAAATACTCTTAATTTAAATTTCTAGTTTGCAAAAACAGAGCTTTCTCTAAAAGTATTTAGATAAAATTATACTATAAAATGTCATTGTTTTCTGCCAGTTTCGTTATCTTTACCTTTAGCAACCTGTGGAGGAGAAAGATGGGAGTCTTCAAAATCTACCATAATGGAAAATCATTGCTTTCAACTCATCTTTGAATGAGTTGAGAACTAAAAAAAAAATCTCATTTTACTCTCTTCTGAATTCCTTCAAACTAATTCATGCATTACTGTAAATCATTCAATCTAGGTTCAATTCAACCTTAGCAGAAACAGATGTAGAAAGCTGAAAAACATGATCACTAATTTCATAATCAACAATATGTGGCTTTTTTTCTCCAAGGCAGCAGACAGATCTGCAAAAAGACAGGTTTTTAATCAGCTTTCTTTTTCCTATGAGCTGAGTAAGCTGATATACATTGTTTTCAATTCCAGATGCTTCTAAGTGAAGAATCAAATGGATTCCACTTATTCACTCAAACCACGTATATGTATGACAAAGACCAAACCATCAAAGCAGAAAAAGCAGTTCAAATAGTGAAATGAAAATCTGAAATGAACTTTGATTCTATTACTGTAAGTATTTATTTTTGAAATGAATTTAATTATTTTCAAATTCTAGGGGGAGTTCTGCTAAGATTTCAAGTACTACGTAAACTGCCTTTGAAGTACATGATGGGGAATTGGTTTGTTTAAAGGTGCTCATGACTTGAAAATTAAGCCTATATTTGGTTTATGACAATGGAAAGTTTAAGTCACAATTTACCAATATACTAATTTTCAAATCAATAAGTGCTACCAAAAGATTTAGATAAAGAAAAATGTGCATAAAAGAATTTTGTAGAAAGGGCTATAATACATCTTGTTATAACAACTGTATAATGCAACTCTTGTGCTTTTAAGCAAAGATCTGCATGAATCCACTACTAAGTCATTCTGTGACTAAATATAACAATGCATGTAATTATTCACCAGCTTTTTCTTGCTTTACACTGAAGTAAATGTTGTCCTTGTTGTGACAGCCTGAAAGCTCAGGTTAAAATAAATTTTCTTATTGATAAGTGGGCATGGATCATAGAATCACAGAATCCCTTGGGTTAGAAGGGACCTTAAAAGATAATGTCATTTGAAAAGTTTAGCTAGCAGATCAGTATAGCTGGTTAAATATTATGAATTAGGAGTCTACAGAAAGATAAGTTGATTTCTCTTGCCTTAGATTTTTTCTTTTACATTTATTAGTTCACCTGTCATAACATTAAATATTCATATGTTTGAACTCCAATGCAGTCTTCTTGTTAATTATTACACAGAACAGAATTTATATGATAAGCATTTTACTTACTGCCCTGTGATGCTTTCCTCTATTTTTTTCACTGACTGCATTTGTACAGCAGAAGCTAATTTGTGAAGGGAACCTAAGGCTCCCATAGGCAGCTCAAAGGAGATGCTTCTATATTATTTCAGCAAGACTTAGCATTCATACATAAATGTGGCTATATATTTATCAAGATACCTGCTAAAATAAAAAAATCAGCTGTCTGTTATTTCCATATAGCATGATGTTCTATATGCACAAAATATACAAAAACATATTAGAATACTATCCTTTTTAATAAATATCTCTATTAGAAAATTATGTATCTATTGAATAAAAGCTATGCCCTAACCGTTCACAATGAATCATTCTTCCTATGACAAAATAATGCACTAAATCTCTTGGGATACTACCATGTATTTTAAAAGCATAACTTCAGAAAGGCAGAGTTACAAGTACAATTCATCCACATTTCTTTCTTACTGATAGAAATACTACCCAGTAATTTGCCAACATTATCACTCATCCAGCACTTACCTGGCTAGTCTAGCCATGAAATGAATCTTGCTGAATTCAGAAAATCCTGTTACTGATGCTAGTAGACCTCACTCTCCCCAGCTAATCCATACACGTCAGCCAAGATACAAATAGTTATGCTGTCTTTTTTGACCAAAAGAGGTAGTCAAAACTCAAATGCATACATGCTGTTTCACTTAGGAAGAAGAATTGAAGATGGGAAAATTATTTCTGATACTGGTCTTTAATTTGCAAGGAGCATGAAGATTTTGCTTTCTTTATTGAACATAAAGGTTTCTTTAAGCCACAGTAACTGATCAGGATATAAAGAATGCAAAAAGGATATGCTTTATTTGTTTATTGAATTAAATACTTCAGCAGGCAGTCTGCAGTACACTACATTCTCAGTGCTGCTTCTGTCACTGACTTTTTTTCTGTTCCTTACTGTATCTGACCTAGTAGATCATTTAACTTTTCTTTCAGAGTTGCTTCTCTCCACTGACAGCAAAAACTCTATTGTAACTTTGAATATGGCTTCATTTTGGCAGATAGTGTATTATTTCAGTTTTCAATTCCAAGGAGAAATTTTACATTATAGATTTATGGAAGAGTCAGAGAATACTCTGAGTTGGAAGGGACCCACAAGGGTCATCAAGTCCAACTCTTAAGTAAATGGCCCATATGGGGATTGAACCCACAACCGTGATTGCTAACATCACCATGTCCTAACCAACTAAACTAATCTCAGGATCCCATTACTCCTACTCTGAATAAAACCCAGATATTAAACCTACCTGTTTCAATTTAATACATTCCAAATAATAATAAACCCTGTATTAGTTGCTATCAATGAATCAAATAAATCCTAAATTTATGTCAACCATAAAGCTCAACATGCCAAAAAAGCTTTAAAAATGCTTAAATCATCTGCCCATAAATTATTAATATATCAGCAAACTACTTCTGTAGGTATATATTTATATGTCATCAATGCCACAGCATTTTAATTTCACTCAACTGCATTTAGAGTATTTTCTCCCTAAACAATTTATTTTCAACTATCTGAGAAGAAGTTTCCATTAATGAATTTCTGAGTTAGTGATTTCTGTAGAATCTATCTTAGATAGATATATGGCCAATAGGAAAAATCCACTGCTGTCAGAATACCTCCAGTACTGATTTTATGGGATAGTATGCAGAAAGTATGACATTCTGACAGCCAAAATTTCATAAGGCAATACTGAATGTAGTCCTATGGCCACATTACCTTCCTAGTGTTTCTCTATATATTCGGGTAGATACTAAACAGCTTACCTTCTTAAAACTTACTCAGTCAAGATCTCTACTATAGCAAGAAGTTCCTACCAGAAATTACTATGTCTTTGAAAAGCTAACCATATGACCGTATATCACAGACACCAAGTCTATCACACACGTATCAGACACTATCTTCACACTCTGTCAAGCAAAGGTAAGGTATTCACAGCAGGGGTCCACTGCAGTCCAGATCCTGTCCAAATCCAATTCAGAAACTCCATGTTTTCCTTAGCTTATCACTGGAAAGTCACCAAATGGAACAGGATATCTGTATTAGGGTCCCTTTTTTACTTATCTTCCAGCTACAAGTATATCACTTCAGTACATCCTTCATTCCTTATGCAGGCACAGAATCCAATAAGCTTACTGGTCAGAAGGTGGTGCCTTACTTGAGGAGGTGCCTCTTTTAAATCAATCTTCATTAGGCTAACATGATACAGACTGCTATCACAAAGAGGTATCCACAAGCCTTATATTGGATGATCCACAAATACCAGGAGGAGAGATCTGTCTCTGAGCAAAGGTATAAATTACTCTATGAGATTTACTTCAGTTTACCTTATTGAGGGCAGGGCTACAGATCAACATCCGAGTTTTGTGACCAAAATCTGCAAGACTACTTTTCCCATGGAACTAGAACGGTTGCTAGTTTTTTCACTTATGTGATAGACCATTACAGGATTATTAAATCCAAAGAATCATCAGAAGAAAGTACAAGAAAGTACAATGAAAGTACAAGAAGAAAGAATGCCCCTCAAGAACTTGAAATAAAAACTGTTACAGATTTTAACAATGCCAGAATTTTGATGGAGCTGGTAATTCAAGTAAGGCATGTACATTTTCTTCTGTTATAACTCATTATTGCCCCTAGTAGTTCAGTCAATGAGGTCAACTAGTGACTTTTAGGGTAACCCACAAAAAACCAGTGCTATTTACTTTCATGTGTTCTAAAATGTAATGTATTAAATTTTATTAAAAATTAAGTAGTACTTAAAATTTACCTTAAAATGACACATTACACTTCGTGGCAGTTCAAGAACTGTTTCAAAGCAGGCAAAGAACTGGAGTGGGGAAAAAAAATCTTTCAATTCTACAAATACATTTCCAAGTTCTCTTTCCAGAAAAAGGGGAATAAAAGAACAGCCTTAGGAAACTCTTAATATCTATTAGTGTCTAGAAAGCTGTATAATGGTCCACCACACAATTATATTTTCTTGGTGGATATCTTCCCTCCCCCAGCTTTCTCACATGTGCAAGGTAATTGATCTCTTTTTGAAGCAAAACACATTCATTTAGGTCCAATTTCAGATTTGCAGCCTTAGACTTATTACAGAATATTTGTAAATTACTATCAATTCTTAATTCAAAATTTTAGTGGGGCCCTGATGTACAGACAGATGTAGTGAGATGTACAGACTAAAAAATACTGTCTTCTAGTAGTTTTTCAAATAGCTATTGTGAAAGCCAAAAACATTAGGTGAAACTGCCAACAGCATGGTCCTGCTGTGAATGCAGATTTCTTACCGTTTATCTCCACATGCCAATATTAACTTTAAGGTTGTGTATAGAAAGACAAATTAAATTTCTGTAACAACTGAGGTCTCAAGTTTTTATGGTAATCAATAAGATTATTTTGAAAATTAAAAAGCAATACATTGCATTTTATGTTGTTCTTCATCAACTTGACACTACTATCTCTTCCTGAACAAATGTATGAGACCCAAAGACTGACTGAAGGTCTAGAATGTGCCTTGTTGACAATTTCTCAGTGACAATTTCTTAGTGACCACTGTCTTGTCTGCTATTCACAAGTGGCCAGGTCTACTGTCTGATGGGGTCCCCTCTGACACATATTAATCCTGTGTTGGGGCAGTGCAATCCAATAAAGCTATAGCTGTTTGTTTTACTGTGCAAAGAAAACCCCCTGATTCCTAGAAATAATGATTATCAAAAAAGAAGTCCCAGACTGTTCAACTGGCATGATGTGTATTTAGAGCAAATCTAGCAGAAATTCTCAGAATTCACTTATATCCTTCACTTTTTGACATCAGCATCTTCTGGATTCATCTGCTTATTTTATAGAGAAACCACTTCCTTTTTCCCTCTATTATTTTTTGCTTATCAAAATAATCAATTTCTATTTCACATCCATGAATAATAAGGCAATATTGGTTTAAAAAAATCTGCCAAGTAAATTGCAAAATGGCTTATTTTCTCAGAAAATTAACATGGAACCAGCTACCTTCACTGTTTGTCTCTAACGTCTCTGCAAAGCCACAGTATAGACCTTAGACCCTTTACTCACTCAAGAACATGTCTTGAACAAAAAGTTGCTGGATGTTGGACCTATTGAAAAAAACCTCTAAGATTATATGGGACTGTAATTTAACACACCTAGGTTATTTAGACTCACAGCTTGTTACAGAGGTCAAATATGCAAATCAAATTTTTCAACCATCTTTTCAAAATTGCCTCTATGCAGTAGCTATGTGCACTAAAGACAAACAAAAGATTCTGTTCTGGGTAACCTGATTTATTACCTTTAGTACTTTTTGATGCAATAACATCATATTTCTATATTTTAATTTTTATGTACATTTCACATATCCTAACGCACAAAAAAATTACAGAAGTCCACTTTTTTAATTTCCCTGTCCAGATAGCATAATAATTATATGCATGGAGTTTTAATAGCTTCAACAAATATGTTATCCTTCTTATAATATTTAGCAACATGAATCATGCCCAAATAGCTTCTCTACAAATACTCTGTTGGCATTCACAACAATACTCCCTGCTATGATGGGGAATATACATTCCTTCTCAACCTCCCTGTGGTACAACCATGAGAACAATGGGAGAACAATGAAAATTAATGTGTTTGAACGATGTCTACAAAGTGTTAAAACAGTACAGGAAAATTCATCAATACCTAAGATTTTTTGCCTTTTGGCCTGTTTTTAAAAGGAAAAGGAAAGATTGAATGTAAAATATGTGAAAGGCTTTTCCTTCTTAAAAAATTCTTATGTAATTAAATACCAGGGAATCTTGTTATCACTAGGGCAAATTGCTCAAAAACTACGGTCTACTTGGCTGTATACAAGAAGGAATAGAGCATATATATTTTTTGTCATTAGACAATTAACCCCATTGAAATTAATTTAGATGATATGGATCATCACAGATATTGATTTTATCTAAACTGGAAGTTTATTCATTCCAATATTGAAGTTACATGAATAAAGCCTGTGTAAATAACACATTTTGTAATTCAAAGTCACATGGATTTCTCTAAAGCTTAAGAGGTTGGTCAGTCAATAGACTAATACATTCTGTCACTTATTACCTGTAATAATTTAAACAGATAGTAAAACTCAATACTGTGTAACACTAGGTTAAGACTCTGACCCTGATCAAACATTTGTCAGCCTTTGTAAAAGATGACACGTGTTTGAGTAGGCAATTGTATGCACTGCAGCTCTCAATAAGATGTGTGACAGAAATAGATGTACTCCTGACAAACATTAGACCATTACAAAATGAAAGAACTAAATCATGTTATATATAGATAGAGAGATAAATACACATAAACATAAATATAAATATATACAATATTATGTGGAGCTAATAGTTTTTTGATAAATAGAAAGAATTTGTTTGCAAAAAAAATATTAAGAAACCAAGACTCTCATATTCCTGAAAAATTAAGTCAAATAGGTGATTATACCATTAGCTATTCAACAATATGATCTGCAAACTACTAATGGAAAAATGTCATAAAGTTTGTTGCTTCAAACCCAATGCCATCAGAATGCAAATAAAAATTTGTAGAAATATTCTTTTATTTATTCTACTTTCAAAACAGCATTAATGAATTAACAAGCAGAAGCATATATATGTAATTTTAGAATGCCAACAGCAACAAGCATATAGTAATATCAACAAAACATCTAAGAAGCTTTCCTAGAGTTGACCGCCTGATTTAATTTTGCCAAAACGGCTTTCCAATAAAGTGGGTCTTTAACATGCTCTGGGGAAGTGTCAGGGAACTGGGAAAAGATCCATTTACTTAACTTTTTCAACTCAACAACAATTTTTCTATCTTTTTACCCATTCAGGAAGTGTCCTACTGGTAAGTAAATGGGTACTTAAACCCTCAAAATGACTGTCAGCCTTCCTCCAGCATTTAAGTTAAAAATGAATTTGTGTTTCTCACTGATAATCTTATGTGGATTAACAATATCAATACTTACTTGAGCTTCTCAACAAAATTTTCACTAAGAAACAATCATGGTGTAGCAATGTTTCCAAAAGCAAGTTCAAATGACAGTATGGCTGGGATAAGAGCAGCTTCAGAAGACCTTGGGATGCCATTTCTCTGGCTGATGGAGTCCTTTCAAAATATAAGATAAAGACAGAAAGAATAATAAAGTTAATTCATCTATGAAATTAGTATCTTTGAATTGCAGATGCAACACTAAATCCCTTAAGTGTCAACTCCTCCCAGATTACTCTGAAAATGCTTTCATGCTTCCTTACTTTAAGGCAGCTCAGAGAAAGAACTGCACTTAATTTCAAGTAGTTAAAAGAAAACTGACATTTGTTAGTCTGCCACAGTTAAATCTGGTACAAAGCAACTGTGTTTATCTCTTTCATGGAACAGTACCTATTTTGTTCTTCTAGGCAAAAAGGAGGGGCTTTTTTTGCTGCAGCTGAATAAATGTAAGGGTACAATTTTTTAGTTTATTATTGCAGTAATCGTTGACTAAGACATCTGCAGTGTCTCTCCTTGATGAAGTGTATAAAGCTCTTAAGTAACAGCCAGTGAAAATGCTCAAACGGGTTGCAAAATTCCACTTTAGGTTGGGCAATTCTTATGTGTTCTGAAAAATCCACAAGAAATATTAGACTGGTTGTTTAACTGCTTCACCAGCAGGGAGAAGTGAGAAAGCATAGTACAAATTCATTAGCTTTTAAAAAGATGGCAGTTTATTTTCTTTTTGTGATTTCCACGTTCTGCAAAAATTGAGGTTTACAAATACTATTCCAGGGCTTCCTCTGAACACAGCCAGTGACCCAACACCAATCACTGAACTCACACTACAGTTAAATAAAAGATAAACAAATCTGTCCTGCCAAATATCTATCACCTATTGTATTTAGTATTTTGTTCTTGAAACATTTTTGAAAACAAGTTTTCAAAACTGGATTGTGGATATTTTTTTTCTTTAATGTGTAAATTTTTATTAATTTGAAGGTTTTTTGAAAATAAAATTTCAACTGATGTTTACCTGCTGTATTTACTTTTTTGGCTACAAATTTATACAATAGTTGATAATATTGAAACTTTATACACCTCATAAACTTCTATGCACATGAATTTTACATGCATGATTTTAAGGACTTCATATGCATTGACTGGGCAGGTATAAATATTACCTGCCAGTATGCAAAAAGCACCTTCAGCATCAATTCAAACCTTCTTCATAGGGAGGTTTTCAATCTGACATTTTTTTGTCAGACTAGACAAGTATTTATATGCCTCTGCTCAAACAATTTACATGCCATTTACACATAACTTTTGGGACAGAACTAAAATGGGCTCGTGATAGTTCTACCAGAGGGGTACCTCTCCATTAAGTTGCATGCTTTTGCAACCTCTGACTTAGCCAAGTGTGCCACCCCCCAGCTATGCTTGAATACACACACAAAAAACCCCCAGATAACTGCACAAGTATTTCACTGTTGAATCAAAACTGCTATTTATACAATATACTCAGTACAAACTCACAAGTCCTGGAAAAGAAAATGTCAGCTGATACACTCCTCTACTTTAGTCCCTCAGATGTCTGTGTTTCCATTACCAGAAAAAGCAGTATGCCAATACCTTGCAGGGCAGTCTTGAAGCCACCTAAAGAAACCATAGCACTGTCTTCCAGCAGACCCCTTACAGTCCACTGTTATAACAAAACTCTGCTGTAATTGATAGTAATTTTCGTAAAGGAACCTCAGCCTTTGCTCTTTTAACACTACAGCAAATACCTCTAACTTCATAAACAATGTCTTTGCCAGGAAACCTTAGGCACAGCTTTTGTGACTTCCATCTGGTACTTTATATATTTTGTTGACAGTGTAGCACCGACTCTATAATTATATTTGAATATTAGCACATATTGGATTCAAGCAGTATTTAGCAAAAACACCTACACATATACATTTAAATCTTGATAGAACTTGCCGTCAAATTAAATTATCCATATTTAAAATACATACTTCATTCAGATATTAGGATTTTGCATTCTAAAAATAACTATCCGAATTTCTGTATGTTCAATATTAGTCCTATATATATAATCTAATGCATATATAATCTATATATAATCTAATCAGTAGTTAGTAATTAAAGTTAAAATTAAAATGGTTACACTAGAATTAATGCTGTGGCTGAGAGCAAACTCAACTCTTCTGTAATTCACTTAAAATATTCAGGCCAGTTTAATTTTTTTTCTCTTCTTTTAATGTCATGTTATCCTATCTAATAAGGTCACTCATTGCCTTCAAACTAAAAGATAAGTGACAATTTGAGTCAATTAGATTTATGAAGAATCATATTTTAAATTCCTATAGAAATAAATTATATTTTTAAAGTATCTGAATTGAAAAAAAACTCTGTCTGTCATTGACCAGATGGGAAGTTATCATGTTGTAATATACACCAGTTCTTGGCTCTTTAAGCATCTTGCAAATTGAAATGTACAGTGGTGTGACTCACTTAGAGGAAAAATAAAATATAGCAGACATTCCCTACAGCCATGAAGCTAGCACCAATAAATGCACTGAGAAGTTTTGTAACGTGCATATGGAGAGACATATGTTCTCTCATCCTCTTAGCTCAGTACTAGTGAAAATAAGACTAGCCTCATAAAAAGTGACAAAAGGTGAAGTACATATAAATATCACACATATAAATGTCCCGTTTTGAATAGTAGAAGGAAAAAACTCTAACTTTGATTTGCAAATGCTATTATTATAAACCCCAAATGAGGCAAAGAACAAATCACAATTAACACTGAAGGAATCACAATTACTAACTAAATAAATATATCTAAATAAATAAATAAGTTAATTATTATCACTAAAAGAACTGCAATATAAATTATCAGTAACTCTTTAGTTTGATAACCAACTATATTATTTTGGTTTCTATTCAAAACAGAAAGAAAGAAAATCTGATGTTCTAAGTTCAAGATGTTATAAGGCAGGTAGATATGCTAATTCATGGTAACAATTTTGACACTGATTTTGGAGTCAAATTGATAAAATTTAACATACTGGAGCCATTTGCAGCAATGAAAAATAATGTAGGAAATCATGCTACATAGTAAACAAAGTACTTTCAGGAACTAGCAAAACTTTTTTCTGAAATAGCAAGCTTAGGAAGACTAAATACTTAATAGCTAAATGTATGACAGGTTAGTGTTGTCAGTTCAAAATCAGGTGGCCACAGTTGAGAGGTATACAATGGCCTGTGCTTCCAATTTTGTTACAGACAGTGAACATATATTTTAATTAGATATAAGATGCAAAATCAGAAAACAACCCATGAATAAGTACGATGCTCTGAAATTTGATGTTTCTTTATAATATTCTCAAGGCAGTATTTGAAGGGCAAAAATGTTTCATTCACATAAAGTATAAAACCAATGAAAAAACTAGAACACCTCAGAATTACTCATTAGATACAGAGCCCTTAATTTTTTTTCCTGAGCAGCTGAAAGGTGTGTTGTTAAAAAGGAACAATAAGTATTTTACCAATATAGTTTGCTCATTATCACCAGGACAGTATGCAAGGCTCTCTCTGTATACAGACTTTTCTCACAAAGGTACACTGACTGGATCTTCTTGGAGATGTACTTTCTTTTGTACTTAGCATTTTCCTGTTTGGTGACTGAGAAGTAGGGTATTTTAGTAACTTTCTTCCATAGAAAACAAGTGCATACTACATAGCTCTGGAATAGTTTTCTGCTATTTATTTTTATCTATCTTAATTCCACCTCAAAAAAGATAATTATGTCAGACCGAAATGGTACCAGCATTTCCTTTATATACTGTTACACAGTATAGGGTACTCAGTCGCAAAATCATCTTCCAAAACTCATACTTCACGGTATAATTTATATTTTGAGATCTGGCCGTGCATGAGGGCATCAAAAAACATATTGTCTTTTCTACAATGAATACTTAATGGAGCATAAATTTCCAGAAATTGATGACTAAATTCCTTTCTAATGCAGTCATTCCCTCTACTGTATCCATCCTTCTCCTTTTTCTCCAACCATGCATAACTTAAGAAGTGACTGACAAAGTTCCTTGAAGCTTGATAAACACACATGATCTTTCATGCATTATAAGTACTTAAATTACTATTTCAAGCAGGACATATTCTGAATTCACAGTTATTCAACTCTGTTTGGCATGTAGTTAGCAAACCACATGTTTTTGATGCAGTGACAACACATATTGTCTCTGGTTCAGCAGATATCAGAGGCACTAGGGAAGGAGAGAAGAGGATTGATGACACGTAGTTAGGAGTGGAGCCTATGGAGAGAAATCAGCATGTTTTGTGTAGTATGGAGCAAAATTATAGGGAAGATATTTACATATACAGGGTAAAAGATGCTGTGTGTACAAGGAAAGAGGTAATAAATCCAAAGCACATGGGTCATCCATAGGTCACCAGTCATTTGATAATGTACTCCTCCAAAAGATAAAAATACTTTCTTGGAAAACACAGTAACATCTCACAAAAGCAGCTTTTCATGAAAATGGAGAGTGAAAACCTCTCAGGAAATAACCTTGAAAAGGAGGAGAGGGAGGTGAAAGGGTTAGGAGAGGATCTACACTGGTGTGGGAGTGCTTCTGTTTCAAAATTAGAAAGCAAACAACAGCACAGCTGGTAGTATCTATCTTCTATGTCACTTGTCCTTATATGCAGTGACAGAGAAAAGTTAAGCCTTTGCTTCTAATCATTCAATAATCTCCAAAAAATTCAACTACAATCAAGCAGCATATTGTTAAATGAGTTATTTATGTACCAAATATTTATTTTTATACAGCAATCCTAAACAGAAAGACATACATTCTTTATCTCCCCTTTAATTATAAGTCCTTCAAAACAGCAACTGTGCTGAACTTCTGTTTTATCAAGAACTATATAGTCTTTAATTAAAGCCAGAAAACCTTACAGATAATTCAAATCTCAAACATAATTAATAGACTAACAAAATAGAGTGCTTTCAGTGCAACTTTTCCTCAGACTTTCAAATATTAGAAAAATCTGTAATTAATTAAAAAATGCTTCTATGACTTTCAAAAATTAGAATATTAATTAGACATGGATTCAGATGTGCTCTTCAAAATGTAACAATATTTGACTAATACTGACTTCTTTTCCCATGGAAAATGGCCTCCGTTTGCGGCCCTTCGCCCCAGCCGACTGGGCTGTGTGAAGCCAGAAATTGGCAAACTTTGCTGGATTTCTCCAAAACTAAAGCTGCCAGCAACGAGGACCCTGCAAGTCCTTCGATCCCCAAACACCACCTTTAATCTGATACCCAGACCCTGGAGAAATGACTTCTTTTTTCCATGGAAAATGGCCTCCGTTTGTGATCCTTTTACAACAGTCAATTTTTGATACTCACTTTTGAAAGAAAAAACAGGATGACGGTATGCAAAATAACCAGTGCAATGGATGATAAAAGACTTCTGAAAAATCTTGAGGAAGATGTTCATCAGAATTATCCAGAAATGTCCTGAAAGAAAACAAATACTTCCAAATTACTAGGGAGACTGAAAATCCCCTTAGACCACTACTATTAATTATGTCTACATGAATAGAAGACAGAAAATACCTTATGATAAATACTATTAATATATGTATGCAAACACATTATTGCAACTCTATGTACTGTAAAAAATAAAATTCTATATTTTTATTCACTTTCACTCTTTGAAACTCGGTATCTAACAACTGTTATTCAAGTTTTCTTCATATTTTTATTCCTATATAATACATTTTCAAACTATGTTTGAAAATGTATTCAATAAGGAAATTTCTCTTCAGTCATTCATTTCTATAGCTCTTTTCTTCCTGCCTAACAAAAATGCATAGTATTTCAAAACTTTTATAATAACGATATGTAAAGTAACGTTTGAAATTATACTGATTGACATGCAAGTGTATATAGACTTTGGATCATACTGGGCAAAAATTTGAATGAGAAGCTTTGGACCTTCACTGCCTTGAGAGAAATGGAATACTGGTTGTCTTCAAATATAAAGGAATAGAGAAGAACTGGATTGTGACTACATATCACTTTTGCAATACTTTACTTACTTAAATGATGTGAGAGGCATAATCTATGGATACTAAAAATGAAATATTTTATTAATTAATTATATGATAGGATTACAGATGTGTGTAAGAACAGGATTCTATCATATAATACTTGCCTTTAATTATTGTTTAGTAATAAATTATTAGTATTTGTACAATTTTCTAGCAGCAAATATGATTCAATAATGTGTGATAGTAATGGATGCCCCTCAGCCTCTTCCCTTTTTATTTTCATTTACATTGTCTAGAATTCCAGCAGAGAGGAATTCCAGCCTGTTACATGCATCCTCCATTAAATATAAACAATTATCACTTCACAAGCACCTTACTTTTCATCTTACTGTGAATTTTTTATCTTTCATCTGAAGTAATTCAGAACTATAGCTACATGTCTATTAGACTCAGATGAAAGAAGAGAGAGAATTATAGTTTTTCACAAGAAAGGTAGCTGTTTCTGAACTTCTCCAAAAGATAGGCTGTTTTATTTGGAAAGCACTCTTACTAATAAAAAAAAAATAAATAATTTAATACAGACCTTAAGTAAGCAAAATCTGAGCAGAAGGATTGCACAGTCAATTTGTGCTGTTTATGAACTCATGAAAACCTGAAGATTAAAAATAAAGCTGAGATTCTAATATAGCCAAAAGAAGAATGCCAACTTGAAAAGAATTATTTTAAGGACAGTAATTTCAATATTATGAAAGTAAAAAACAAATCTTATTGTCTCTCATCCACTGAAATATTTTTCTGAATATAGCAAAGTATAGAGCAAACATCCTACACAAAAGTGTGATAAATACATCTTGGTTAGCAATCTGATTTAAAAAAAGAGGACCACATCTTGTCTATTGCTTGTGTAGGAACTGTTTGACAGAATTCTGGACTAAAGCAGCTTGCTAAGTGTGACTTGGCTGTTTCCTAAGGAGCCTTAGCCATATCCTAAGGAGAAGCTCAGGGCAGATTTTTGGATTCTGACTTACTTGCTTATATCAAAATCTCTACAGAAATTTTTAAAGTGAGGTAGAGATCATCTAAGGGTTTTAGAGATTATTTAAATATTAGAATAGCTTCAAATACTATTAAAAATCAATGATAATTCAGTAATTCTCATGACAGCATTTTTTAATGTCCAATGCTGGCTAGGTAATTCTTACCAGGAAAGAAACAACTCTGTGCCAGACTGCTGAACTCAACTACTCTTCTGACAGAAGTATAATAATAGCTAATAGGACAGTTGTTTTTGCTTCAAGTTATGCTAAACCAGCTGCCTATTATCTCAAAGCACTGGATAGCTGATTTAATACCAAAGCAAGATTTCAAGTTATAGTGGTTTTATTTCTCAGTAGAGTATGACAGGGTGAGAATTGACCCTGTAAGCCTGAGTGCAGGTGTGAAAAATGAGATGCCAGCAAGGTGCATCCTAACACTATTTCTTTGTAGTTTGCATGATTTCTCTCTGTATAACCAATAAACATTACTAAAAAAGCAACTTCATGAGTTATAACTCATATATTAAAGAGAAATGTCAGTCTTTAATAGCCCATGACATTGAATTTACAACAATAGAGAACAATTTTGCCAATAAACTCTCTATATGATTCTCTCAGTGTTTAAATAATTTACTTGATTTCTTGTTGAGAAAATAAGATATAACAATTCATACTATGAAATCACAAAAAGGTGCATCTACCTTCCTCTTTATATTCTACCTTTACAGACTATCGTCTCCTACTCAGCATAAAGACTAAAGCATATCAGAACAGGCACAAGAATGGATCTGCTCCAAACTGAGCAATCCCAAACCAGAGGGAGAAGAGAGTAAGGCCCAGATAATTTACTCCTCTACAAACTTGTGAGTAAAGAATGGCATTGGACTCTCCTGTGTATTCACAGGCAGCACTGAAACTGTGTGATCCTCTACATGAAACCCCAGCTACTAGAACTGAGTAGCTGACAACAATCTTGTCCGCAAGTAAGACTATGATGATTGGAAATTCAGAATTATGAAAATCCTCATATTTCAGAGCTTTGAGTAAGCAGCAAGAAAATAGCAACACTCAGTATATTTGAGGAGCACATTCTAGAGACTCACTGTTCATCAGGTCCTCAATAACGTGGACAAAAGTCAACATAGAGCAGTTGCTTAACAGATTTTCAGGTGACACTAAACTGGGGGAAGCAGACCAAGTAGTTAACACAACAAACAGCTCATGGACACCTGGGCCAACAGAAATTCACAAAACTGACTGAGGTAAAGAGCAACTGTTTGCTTCAGCTACAGAATTACAATAACCTAGGTTGGGAACTGACTTGTCTAAGTGCCACTCTACCCAGCCACAAACCTGGGATTTATGGGCAGTAGGTACTGAAGACAAGGCAACAGTGTATTATCACTAGAAAAATGCAAACCACACACTGGGCAGGAACACAGCAACTAAAACAAAGATAGTGATTTACTTCATCTGCTTGTCAACAGTTTAAGCCTTACCTAGAATATTTTGTCCAGCCACTGGGCCTACAGTTCAAGGAGTATGTGAGAAAACTGGAGAAGACTAAACTGAACCATGTGTAAAAAATGTTTGAGGGCCCTAGACTCCTTTACTTGGTGAAGAGGTGGCTAAAGTGTTGATTCATGTAATGGCAGCCTACAACCACCCAAACAGTAATTACGAAGACAACACTGACCAAATTTATCCAGTTATGCTGATGTGATATAGCAAATTATAGCCAGCAGCTTTCAGGGCTCACACTTGATATGAGGCAATATTTTGCACTAAGGCATTGCAGCTGCAGAGCAGGCCTCACAAGAAGTCGGAAAACTTCAGTTCCTGGAGGCTGGCATGTGTCACTTAAGTCGGTCAAACACAGTCATGTTTGACTGCTCTTGGTGATTGCTCTGCTTTGAGGAGGAGGCTAGATCAGACAACCTCCAGCAGTCCTTTCCAACCAACATTTCCAGTATGCTAAAGATACTTCAGGAAAGCCACAGAAGGATGGAGAAAAAATGAAGCATAGAAAAAACCCATAGAAAAAAAAACATTAAACCTAGATGACCCAAGCGATTCACAGATGAATTTCGGACCAGATCTAAGTAACCTTGTCATACAGAAAAGAAAGTGTAGATCACAATATTAGGAATGAGAAAACAGAATCACCTTATCTGAAGTTAAGGATATTACCAATTTTTCACCACCATTACTGTTTTAATCAATTTCCACAAAATAATTAAGAAATTGAAATAATTTTAGTTCTCTTAAGCAATAGAGAATACAGCCTCTCTAGTAAGTCCAAAATGAACCAGTCATATTATTACACAACTACTGGAAAACAATATTTCATCATTGACACTTTTCTGACTACATAGAATTTCCCTGAAAAGTCTAAAGATTAATTGACTTCTAGTCACTTAAGGGAAAACTTCCAGTACAAAAAGAGAGCATGATAGATTTAAAAGAAAAGATTTCACTTCCAGTTAACTTTACCGAAGGTGTGAAAGATATAGAGCCAAGACAAGATGGAAATTGTGATTATACTATATAATTGCAGAGAGAATTGATGAATAATTAATATTCATTTAAAATCAGGTGTAACTTTTGAATTTATTATTGACAAATTCCTAATGTAATGAACTATGCATACCCCAGTAAACATTACACCTAGGTACTTTACCTAAAATTCACTATATCAAGGTGTTTCCAATTGAATATAGTCATTTAAGAAGCTGATTGGCTAAACCACTTTCCTCTTTGTACTCTGGACACTGGACTAGGTTACTTGACAAATATTGACTGCAATTAAATATAGAATATTAAAAAAATGTTTTGATAATGGAGGCCTCACAGATTGTGAAAACACAAGGTCTGAATATAAGTTCATAAAAAAATACAATTTTACTTACTATAAACATGTATAATCTATATGGAAATGATCTTCAGTTAATATTATTTTTGTAACTATGTAACAAAATAAGACAATTTTTGTATTCTCTTTAAACAGAGCTGCCATATTTTGGTGGTGATTTGCACAGTACTTTGTAGTAAATGAAAGCAGCTGCTACATTCAGCACATGTCAAGGTTTTGATCTCCAGATAAGCAAATTCAGATAATGAAATTCACATCCCTAACTCTGCAAGCTATATGACCAAGATGTTTACCTGCAGCATTTTACATAAAATAGAAACCAAGCTTTTCATGGGCACTTTGTTCTGAAACTCTGTGAGTTCTCCAGCAAGCACACATTTTTTGTCATGCTACGTATACACAAATATGTAAACAACACTGATCAGTGGAGGAGACTAGAATCCCTTAAAGGAACAAATTATACTGCATATTTACTAGGGTCTATCATTTTAAGGCCTTTCATAAAAGAAAGACAAAATGTCAAAAGTGACAGTACAAGCAGTTACAGCCACTGTAATCCTTTCTTGCCTCCATTTCTACTGCCATAGCAGGACTACCTAATCTGTTTCTGAGCCACCTTCAAAATTGCTATCTATTCATAAGGCTGTGGTATATAAGATCAAACAATCAGGTACAATCCAGTTTTGCATGTTCTTTAGAGGCCACAAATATTAAAATGAGCCCACACATGACAAAAAAAATTAGTTAAAGAGGCTTATATGCAGGAGGTCTCCACCCTAGTACCACCTAGAATTTTTCTTATTTTGAATAACAAAGTAAAAGCCAGTAGAATAGGATGTGGCTTCATTAGTTTGGGGTTTTGTTGTTCCTCTTTTTTAAATTTGTGATCTCGCTTTGCATTGTCTCTTACAGCAAATTTACAGATGAATTTTATCAACAAAAACTCAGACCAAATTTCAGTGCAAGTTACATGTCCATTTTTTACAGTTGTGACTTGTGAAACCATGATTTTATAAATATGGGCACTCCATATTCTTACATTTTACTACATTTGCTGCAGCATACTGGTCGTGTAACCAGATGATCATTTTAGTAAATTACCTTTACATTCCCATACTTCTAGAAGACTGACAACATGAGGGATTTGACAACCTGCTTGCCAAAGTATTTGGTACCATAGTAGTAAATGTTTTCAGATCAATAAGACCAGATTTAAAAAGAAATATGTCCTAACTGGAAAAATAAATTGCAAATTTGGGGCAGTAAAAATTAATTAAATTCTACTGGTTTTCTCACAGAGGAAATAAACCCAGACATTTACTATGGTCTATGTTATTAACAGAAAAAAAAAAAGTACAGCACCAGAGTTTGATCCAAAGCTAATAAAATCTCAGCAGATATAACTGGGCTTTAGGCAAGATCACAAATATAAGTATGGGATCAAATTGAGAAATAGTCAAAGACTATTAAAATGTGCCAACACTATGCATTACATTTGATTTCAACAAAAAAATTCACCCTTCTAGATCTATCCAGGTAAGCTCAAGAACCAATTTATCTCAAATTAAATGTTTACTTCATACTCACTCATACAAATTCTTCAATGGTGAAGTTAAAATAGCCAGCACGGAGATCAGACTATTGCAGTGGCTATGTATTTTATAGATCTTGAGATTTCTGTCTTTGTGTGGATTCAGAAACTCCTGCGCAGAACTACAAATTGACCAGAGCATATCTTCAGTGGACATCAAAATTGCTGCAATATCAACTCTGCAGGAAAAAAAAGCCCAAGAATAACATTACTTAAAACATCTTTATAGTGGTAAATTCCAATTAAACAGACACTTTCTCTGACAGGATAAAACCCCAAAATCATAGCATGGACTTTTTAAATTTCCTGTTCAGTGATGCAGAAAGTATCCATCCACTACTCTGTAAAAATCAACTCTTTCACAGAGAAGTTGTTACTGAAACTAATAAAAAGAAGACTTAAAAATTTTGGAAATATCCTTTCTGAAATGACAGTGTCACTAGGTATGAACAATTTACTTCCTAAACTACAAGTAAATAAATATTAATTTTGTTTTCTTATCATTAAAATGTACCTACTGTTTTCAAATCCTGATGGGGATATATGGAAATAGGACAAAGTAACTTAATCTTTAATTTGCAAAACTAACTCCATGCAACATTGTACAATGTGGAACATTTCTGAGTCAGTAATCTGTTGCTTGCTGATACTGGTTGGCAGAGCACCACATGTCATTGTCTGAACAACAGCAAGAACTCAAACTACAACACAACAACTATGACATACAATGCAGAGGAAACGCGAATAACACAAAAAATATGGGAGGTATGAGGCTGGACTTCAAAAACTACTTAAGTACCTAAAAGCCATGGATCCACCTGTGATCATATGCATTTTTAAGGAATATGTTATTTTTGAAGAATCTAGACAAACACACGTAAACAGACATTTGTCCATATCACCAGTTCTCTACCATTTGAAGAACCACTGGGAGAAAAGATACCTCCACAAACCACAACAATCTTAAAAAAACATGTAAAGAGTCTGTGATAAAAATGTATTGAGTATTTTTTCCATTCATTCATGACTGGATAGTTCAATTTACTTAGTGAAAAATCCAAGAATCACACCAACGAATATACAACTTTTCCACAAAATGACAACACACAAAGCTTTTTCCTGTTCAGTAGTTTGAAGTAAATTCATATAGAATTCACTAGTATGACACTTTGGTAATATTGGGGGAACTTTTTTCCCCAATATTTGGGGAACTTTTTCCCAAAAAAAATTTCTAGGCAAGTTTTCAGAAAATCTCTTGGTAACAAAAGTTACAGAACAGCCTAATTACAGTGAGTTATTGCAGGAACAGAGCACACAAATAGGTACATAGTATAAAATTTCATTTTTTCCTACCCATTTTAAGAATGTGATCTTGTGCAAGTTACTTGAGCTTTCATGACAACACTCCTTTTCATTATAAAACTAGAGATGACAGCACATAACTCTTAGTCACACAGAGCATGGACCTGGTAAGTGTCTCCAGCCCTCTAAAACTGCAAACTCTTTAACTCTTCTAGGTGGTGCTGTGCAACAGCACTAAAGGCCATGGCCAGAAATTGTGCACAGGAAGTTCCACCTGAATATGAGGAAGAACTTCCTTACTGTGTGGATGACCAAGTACTGAAACAGAGTGCCCAGAGAGGCTGTGGATTGACCCTCACTGGAGACATCTAAGAGGACTGTCTGGACTTGGCCTTGTGCTGTGTACTCTGAGATAGCCCTGCTTGAATACGGAGGTTGGACCAGATGATCCACTGTGGTCCTTCCAATCTCACCCATTCTGTTAGGAGAAGAACACCTCTTTATTCAGTAAAACAAGACACTGGATAGAAAGGACAAAGGTAGGGTTAACTTCCACTTGAAGACACCTGCTTTAGTATTTCTAAAAAAGACTGTACTCTCTGGCAAAACGTAAGAATTGCAACAGGAAAAACTTCCCATTTCTTATTTTTTAAAATGACAGAAAAAGGAACAGCCTCTTTCTCCTCTCTCCAACTACACCACTGGCATCTACTACAAGGTCACATCAAAACAAATATTGTAGTTCTTTCACTTGAAAAGCTCTATAAAACCACAGATTCTATGGGAACTCATTAAATTTTCTTAATAATTCAACAACTTGATTTCTAATCCTGACATTGTCAATTCTATCCACATTTTTGGTTGCATCACCAATCCTCTATGAACTTTCATTGTGAGGCTTTCAACACCAATCCTCTATGAACTTTCATTGTGAGGCTTTCAAACCAATCAAGCAGTTTATGGAACAATTTGACAGAGTTGCGAGGCCTTCAATTCTGCCCAGTTTGCAATGTAACTACTAAATATACTTAAATACACAAAGTAAATTTTATTAAAACAAACATCAAAATGCATAGATTCAGTCTATCCCCTCTGCTGTGTTCATTAACATTGAATTTGAATCAAAGCAGTAGATAACAGAAGACTAACATTTACTTCTCTAATCCATCAAAATGGTGTATTAAATATACAACCATTACCTGATTTGTGTTGTTCTTTTGTAGCTGGGACACACCTGACAATATCTGGAGCACAGAATATCCAAAGATCGCTCTAGTACATCTGTAAGAATCTCCTGGGCTGTCTTTGGAGGTAGAATAGTCCATAGATCATGATGAAGAGCACAGCAGAAGTAATGCCACATCTGGACAGAGAATGAGCATCTTTCCCCCTATCAAAACCACCACACATTACATAAAAAAACCACCCCATCCAAAATGTCAATTTAACTCTTACAGTTCTATTTAATTAAATCTGAAAGGAAATAGCTAAAGAGTTCCAGGAATAGGATGGCCAAAAATGGTGCTTGAAAAGATGTGAGACATCTTTATTTGCAAGGAAACAATGTTCATTTCAGTCACAAAATTACAGTGCTGCCACAAAATAAAACCACAGCATTTGAACTTTTATATCCTGAATTATATTCTTTTATAATCTCAAACCCCATAGTGTTTAGTTTAAAAACATAGACAGTATTCTGTACACCACAGAATAGTCAGATAAACTTAACATAGCAGTTTCTTTGTCTGCAAAGAAAAGAATTATTTAAATTACTTAATCATTTGTATTTATCCAAATGCTATGCATAACCATGACTATAAAACCTTGGTTATATATAATAGATATGAGAGAAGAGAAGGGAAGAGAAGGTTACGGGAAGGGAAGGTTCCGGGAAGAGAAGAGAAGAGAAGAGAAGAGAAGAGAAGAGAAGAGAAGAGAAGAGAAGAGAAGAGAAGAGAAGAGAAGAGAAGAGAAGAGAAGACATCACTGAGTGACTTAGACTGCCTGCTAGCTACA